CACGTTACACAGTGGACCGCTGAAACCAGTCCGTCCCACCGCCACGGAAAAATATAAATTAGAGACTATTAATGAACGTTTAAACACAGAAACTTTAAGAATGAGACTTTATTCATTTTGTACAAAAACGAGCAAAAACAGGTGCTTCATGTAAAATTCACAGGGACAAGAGCCAGTCTGTGCCGTACGTTACCACGACGTCAAAATGTGCACTGAAATCAACCCAAAGACAACCCAACACTTCAACAGTCCTATAGTTACACTCCTCTGACCAGGTATTCCCTTTTATAATTGCAATTTTGTGACTTTTTTTTATAGTTTTTAATATCAACATGCATAATGACACTAGCCTATTTTAAAGGTGCACTATGTAACTTTTTGGTTGGGGGTCCGCCACCTGCTTGTTTCCATGGATATGTCATTGCCCTGTCCAGAATGTTCCGCAGAATGACATTAAACAGCTCTACCTTGCATTTATTCAGTTACAGATGGTTTTATAGCTCAAAAATACGTAGAAAAACAAATTCTGACTGTGAGTGGGGTCGCCTCTTCACAGATCTGACCTGTAACTTCTAGTTTTGTCTCCATGAACGTAGAAAGGATTAATGCCATACTGCGAAACATTCCAGACAAAGCAAGAACATCTCAATAAACTTTTAATGGATGCTCCACCAGAAAAGTTTCACAATGCACCTTTCTTGTGTTTGACCCAAAATCTGGAATTAAAATTTTTGAAAAACATATTTTCAACCTATTTCTATTCCACTTTCTGATCTCAAATTTCCTTCTGGATTTTTAATATATATATTTTTTAACACAATTGTAACTTTCTGTCGCATCCAGCAGAGGACAGGGTTAACCCAGGACACTGCATTCCCTCTTCAAAGTCGTTTTCCTTAAACTCCTCCTTTAGTTTTTTCAAATCCCTTTTTTCCCCCTCATCTTTTTTGACCCTTTACGCTTCCCTTACTGATTAGTTCCAGACCTGCCACTGTGCTCTTTTGCCGACTCAACATTCCTTCTTCAAAATATGAAAAAAACCCACACATCACTCACCCCTCCTCTAGGTTGAACTCTCTCAAGGAAAAAAAAAAAAGACAAGATTTTTTTTCCCCAGTCTTAAGCCTTCCAGCATTCCTTCTTCAAGTAAAGCAATGCAAATCCAAGGCAAGGAAAACAAAATAATTAAAACAGCAATTTTCCGTAAGTAATTATGAAATTCCCCAAAAGACAAGAAGGAAAAAAAAACACAAGTGAAATCTTTGGTTGTAAATTGTAATACTGTTTAAAGAATGAGTCAGTCACTTGAGATGTTTTCATTACAGACCAAAGCAAAGTCAAACAGCTGGCGTGGATCCTTTAAAAGCAGTGAAAGTGTCCACATTTTGTTATAGTTTTTGCAGCGGTTGCGAAGAAACAAAAAGAAACATTTATACAATATTTACAAAAATTAAGGAAGTAAAATGTGGCGCCATGAAATTGTCAAAATCTGGTATGCAAATTACAGAACAAGATGGTTTGCAATTACCGGTTCCAAGCAAAAAGCAATAAAAAGTTCTTGCTGATTTTGAAATATAAAGGTGCACTATGTAACTTTTTGGTTGGCGGTTGTATCAGTCACCCGCTTGTTTCAATGGATATGTCGTTGCTGTGCCTGGAATGTTCCACAGTATGACTTTAAAAACAGCTCTACCTTACGTTTATTCAATTACAGGTGGTTTTATGGCTCAAAAATACCTAAAAAAAAAAACAAGCATTCTGACTGTGAGTGGGGTTTCCTCTCCACAGATCTGACCTGTAACTTGGTCTGTAATAACATCTCCATGGAGAAAAGCATCTGATGGACACTCCACCAGAAAAGTTACACAGTGCGCCTTTACAAAAGTTGAAATGTGTGTCTTTTCACAATTTCATTACGTAATTAAATCAGCTCAGTTGTAAACGAATACATTTTAAATGCTTCAAAGTGAGTAAAGGTGCACTGTGTAACTTTTCTGGTGGAGGGTCCGCTACCTGCTTGTCACCATGGAGATGCTATAGCTTTGCCTGGAATGTTCCATGGTATCACTTTTAACTCTATCTTTTTAGCATTTATTCATTACGGGTGTTTCTATTGCTCAAAAATCCCATAATTCCTTTTGCGAATAGGGGCGACTCTCCACAGATCTGACCTGTAATGTAGCGAAGTGCTGTAACCTCCTCGCATCCCTCGTGATAGATACACTGTGGAACATTCTAGACAAAGTAACAGCATTTCCATGGAGACAAGCAGCTGGCAGATCTTCCACTAGAAACCAAAAATGTTACGCAGTGCACCTTTAACTGCAAATTCATTTCACAATAAGCCAAGCCGACAGCAAAGAAGCGAATTAAACGCAATGCACGACTAATACTGTTAATATTGTAAAGTGCTAAAATGTGCGCATGTTAAAACTAAGCTGTCGTTGATCAGATCGCTATAGCAACCGTCTATAAACAAAAGGCACAAGGTCATAATGTATTGTCAGTTTGGATTCTCTTCAAGTATATTCACGCTTGGAAACTCTGACAGATGTTTTGCTAAGATGAATAAAACGATGGATATTTGAGACAAGTTTGAAATCTGGATACAAGATAAAAGAACTTGTATTTAAATTTTATTCTGATTTATTGAAGAAAATTGTATCTTTTAACATTACAGATTTATGTACGTGAGTTACAATGTGGAAGCAATGGAAAGTTTAAAATTTGGTTACAAGATAATATATATGTATTTCAATTTTATTCTAGTTTGAAATTTGGCTACAAGATAATATATTTGTATTTAAATTTTAGTCAAATTTATCAAAATAGTATCTTTTAATACTGCAGATTTATACAAGTGAGTTACAATGTGAACACAATGGATATTTGAGACAAGTTTGAAATCTGTCTGCAAGAGAATATAACTTGTATTTAACTTTTAATTTACTGAAGAAAATTGTTTCTTTTAACACTGCAGATTCTCAAATGTGAGTTACAATGGATATTTGAGACAAGTTTGAAATTTGGATAAAAAATAATGTAACTTGTATTTAGATTTTAGTCTGATTTATTGAAGAAAATTGTATCTTTAACTGGAGATTTTACGCATGAGAGTTATAATGTAAGTCTTCTACAGAGGCTGATCCAAGTTCACATTTGGAAAACGTCCACCTGCAGTTACAAAACATCTGGTGTAGACGTGTCCCATCTCTGAACAATACTACTCAAACTCTGTAGTGTCTCTCAGTAACAGTAAAAGCTGAAAAGGTATTTGAAATCTTTTATTCCTACTACCATTCACCTTTGAAATTCTAGATGTACTGTGTTTTTCTTGGGTGCTTTTTAGTCCTCGGAGCTCCTCTTTGTTCATTATTGCTCCATGTGTTCGATGTTTGTTTGTCTTTATGTGTTTGTTTTGCTGCTCAGACTAATTGGCCCTGGTGGGATTAATAAAGTTATCTGAATCTGAATGAAGGCTGCTCTGGAATAATACTGACAACAGAATAAGGAAATGTTAAGAGAATCCAGTTTGGTCCCTGGTAAAATGAAAGTTTATGTACCATAAATGTGTATGGATAAAAATACAAGAAATGAAAAAAACAAAACAAATGCATTTAGTTCAATTCAAATTGAAATCCACAAAATGAAATACTGTGAATATTTTTTTTAATTTCATGTAAATATTAAGGCTTATAGATACAGTAAGAAAATGAATGAAATGATAGACCAGACTGTGTCCCAATATTGAAGTGAATACTTAAATGTTGTCTGGGATCCAGAATACACACACACACAGAATCTTCTGAGTCTGGTCACCTCTGACTCTCTCCGTTTTGAAATGGGAGTGATTGACAGGTGGATTAGCCAATCAGGGAAGGTGAGATAAATGAGATTGTATTTGTAAATCATATGTGACCAATGAGCTCCTTCGTTTCACATGCATCAGTGAACAATCACGTTTGAGACGGTTGGAGATTTGGTGGAAGGAGTTGGGTGTTTGCCTGGAAATCCAGAATTATATCCGTCTGTATTTTATACAGATCAGTTTCAGTCTGGATTTCCAGGCAAAGTTAAATGTATTCCATAACAAAACACATATTTTGGAAGGAGGCCAATGCCTAATCTTCACAGCCATTAAAGTTGAAATAAAAAGTGTTTTATGTAATCAATCTGTAAACATTTGTGTTTATTCTTTTGAATTGAACTAAAAGAAAAAAAAAAACTTACTTTTTTCACAAATCCTTTACACCTGCTCTTTGTCTGCATGGAAGACAGTTAAGAGGCGTTTTATAACATTGTGTTCCAGCTATAACAAAAGGAAAATCACAGTTTAAAATGTATGGCATTCAAGAGAGGATTTTTGGAGAAAATGGAAAAATAGTCCAAAACTTTTTTGTAAAACTTTAGAAAATACTTTTTTAAAAACTAGTCAATAGTCATCTGCTGCGCTCTGCACAGACTGTGTGCACTTTAAAAATCATCTTTTTGGTTTGAAAAAACAACTTTATATATAAAAAATGCCACATTGCGTAAAAAGTAAATCCAAATCTTCAGTCTCTCCGGGTTCAGTCCCAGTTTGGGGCAGGTCAGGGGCAGGACCGGGGCAGGACCGGGGCAGGACAGGGGCAGGACAGGGGCAGGACAGGGGCAGGACAGGGGCAGGTATAAATGGGGCTGGCAGGGCTTGACATTAACTCTTTAAGCACACGATCTACCATTGGCCCACGGAGTTGGCTTGTATCCAGGGCCCAAAATCTCCCACTGTACTTCTGCTACTGTTGCTAGTCTCTTTTTCAAAAAGGTTTCCACAAACTGCCTCTGTTTTGGTTATGGTCAAAGTAGAAAAAAGGCCATATAAAAGTACATAAAAGTTGTATTATTACCTCCGCCAAGAAGGTTATGTTTTTGCCGGCGTTTGTCTGTTTGTTTGTCTGTTTGTTTGTCTGTTGTTTGTTGTTTGTTTGTTTGTTTGTTTGTTTGTTTGTTTGTTTGTCTGTTAGCAACATAACTCAAAAAGTTATGGACCGATTTTGATGAAATTTTCAGGATTTCTTGGAAATGTGAAAAGGAAGAACTGATTTCATTTTGGGGGTGATCCGGAAGAAATCCTGGATTCTGGATCACTTTGAAATTTTAGTTAACATTGTGGTAAATGGGGCCAAAAATTTTGTTTCTCAATATCTCGGTTAATTATTGACCAAACCCCATGAAATTTGACTCAGGGATGGACAATGGGATCCTCTTTCATATTCCAAAGGCTGATCCGGATCTGATCCAGAAGACTGATTTTATCGCAATTTATATAAAAAATGGGGGTAGTCCTTGGCGGAGGTCTGCGCTCTCTGAGTGCTTTTCTAGTTTTCTATGCATCATTCAATTTTATTCTATTGACAATTTTATTAGAATTTGGCTAGATAACAAGTAGAGGTGAGTCACTTTTTCTCTATTTGATGCAGAAATATTTGTCCCACACTTTTTCAGCTGGATTTAAGCAAACACAGTGAAGTTTAAATGTGTAGAAGAAGCAGTTACTTTAATTTCCTCTCAGTATCAAATTTAAAATCTTACATGAATCACGATCGAACTGAAATGGAGACCTGGCTCTGAGAAAACCGAGATACCTTTTTATTCACCATATTGTCTAGCATTATTGTCAAGCCCTACAGGGTGCAGTAGAAGGAGGGAGGGGGTATTTCTGTTGCTACTCTTCTTGCTGCTCGTTCAGCTCCATGTCTGACACCAGGATGTTTTTCTCCATCTGTTCTGTGGAGCTGGAGTTGGTGCGGCTGTAGCGCGCCCCCTCGTAGGACCCCCGCGCGCCCACTGTCCTGCGCCGGTACAGGTAAATCACGCTGACGATGAGGATCACCAGGACCAGGCCCGTAACCATGACGACCATCAGGGTGGGCAGGTGCTCAGAGTCCACTAAGGAGGAGACAATACGCAGTAGAAAGGAGGGTTAAGTTTGGAAATAAACGCCTTGAAAAGTTTATTAAAGGGAAAGGTGAATATGAAATGTTTAAACTTACATGTAACAGCTGATGTTTCTATAACTGGAAATAAAGACAAGAAGAAAAGATATATTGGTTTTAAGTGTAACTGTGGGGAAGCACTTTAAAGGTCCTATATTACATGAAATTGACTCTTGCCAGCTTTAAGTCTTGTTATAATATTGTTACCTACTCAAAAACATACCTTGAGTTGTGTTTTGTTTGAGTAACCCTTTATTATTGGTCTACATCTCCAAAACTCAAAATGATCTGTTCCACCTTGAGATGTCATGAAGTGGTAGTTTTCAAGTTAACAGCTACATTTTACCTTTAGTTCAGTGGAGATTGGCAACTTTAAGGTAATTTAGCCTATTTTAGAAGTATCCCATAAAAGATGCCATCTGGAAAATAAACAGTTTGATTGGTGACACAACTCCCTTGACTCTGTTTCCATGCTGGAAAACAAGAAAACAATATTCCATTGTCTATTTTCTTGCGCTTCCGATTGTGTGAATGTGTGTCCGAACTTGTTCGGTTGTGTACGGTACACAACTGAACAAGTTCGTCCCATGGCGGAAACACCAACAGCGCGTTATCTAACACTTTCACTGAACCAGTTTACACCAAAGTGTGGCTCCTAGTAGACGGTTCCTTCTCATGTGGGAAGTCGTGTGACGTCACATTCCCATTCCCTATTACAGGGATGAAATCATCAAAATCTAGTGAAGGTGTATGGAGTTAAAAAAAAAAAAAAAAGTAGAGCACTTTCTGTATTACCACATAACATCCAAAGGTGGAACTCAGGCTAAATATGCAGAGTTTGTGTGTTAAACATGTGATGAGGAAACAATATTATAACATAGATCAGAAAATAGCGTAACTTTAAAAACACATTATTTGCTTTGAATCAAACTAAAATAATTAACAACAAAAAACTTATATAATACATACAGTTTTTTCTGAGAATTTCATAATATAATGAGTAAAGTTCTGCTCACTCCTCGGCCGTTTGCAGATGACCCCATGTGTTCGGTTCCGGCAGGAGCCTGGTTTCCACAGTCCAGTGTTGCTCTGGATCCAGAAGCACGAGTTTGGAGACAAAACAGAGAAAGCCTGAGCCTCCCAGTTTGAGAAAGTTATCTCTGCTTCATCTTCACTCCACACCAGACCACGACCTGCAGGAGAAATATGCTGTATTAGCCCACAGATACTAACCGTCTATCTGGTCTATGCAATTACAATTTTCTGTCAGTAAAATTCTGAGGTTTGGAGAAAAAAAAAGTTCATGAGGACTAATTTAGAGCTCAGTACTTGTGTTCTAGAAACCTGCAACTTAAAAATGTTAAATAACTAAGTTTAATTATCTTAGTCAAAGTAATACAACTATACAACTACTACTACTACTACTACTACTACTACTACTACTACTACTACTACTACACCTCCTACTACTACTACACCTCCTACTACTACTACACCTCCTACTACTACTACACCTCCTATTACACCTACTACTACTACACCTACTACTACACCTATTACTACTCCTACTACACCTACACCTACTACTACACCTACAACTACACCTACTACTACTACTACTACTACACCTACTCCTACTACTCCACCTACTACACCTACTACTACTACACCTATTACTACTCCTACTGCTCCTACTCCTACTACTACTACGATAAAACAACATCAGTGACTTCTATGAAAATTCAATTACTATTATACCAACAAAGTGTAAAATGTAGCAGCATTTTTGATTCATTGTGATAGTTATGAGTAGTATTAATATTTGCAGAGCCAAACGTTGGTGTAGAAAGAGGCACAAAAAAAGAAAAAAAAGAAAGAAAGAGGGAGGGAGCATGTGGGTGAATTCCTGACCTTTGACGCTGATCCCGAGCCAGGCCCCGTGTGCCTGCTCCGCGTAGCTCTGGATGTGCTCCCAAATAAACTCGTTCTCAGTCTCATCCAAGATGGAGAGAAGCTCCGCCCCCACTACAGAGGAGAAAGAGAAGAGACGGGCACAGTGGAGAGAGAGAGAGAGAGAGAGAGAGAAATGGGCAAAGAGGAGAGAGAGACGGGCACAGAGGCAAAACACGTTAACACTTAAGTTCTATGAGTACATTATTTAAAAGTATACTTCCTTATTTACTTAAAAATAATAATAATAAAAAAGCTAATAACATGACAAAGAAAAACAAGAGCTCATGAAGTAGTTTCTTTTAGTAATAGTTTTACACATTGAACTCATGATGAATAAAACCTAAAATACTCCTAATACAAGTAAGATTTAATAAATTTAATAAAGAAATAAAACTAAACCAGAGAAGGTAATTGAGTATTTAATGTTAATGGTGGTTAAATTAAAAGTGCTTGTGACTCTCCTCAACTGCTGGATGCATTTTGTTATTATGTTAAAAATGTGTTGTAAATATCTGTATATATGTATACAGTGATATTACCGTTCTTGCAGTCGGAGCGTGCGTTATGCTGTAGTCTCAGGTGTTGCAGGTTAAAGGCATAACAGTTGTTTCTAAAGGGGACCCAGGCCCATTCTCCCACAGAGTGAGGACACTCCCCCGGGTACACCCACTGGTGCCCCACAGGGTCCTCTGAAAGGACAAAAATACACATCACACTCTAATCTATAACTTTCAAATTTCAAGGACACAACTAGACATTTATCATAAGTACAATGCAGACTCATATGCATAAAGAAACTATGTTGCCATGTTCGTACCTCCAATTTGGCATAAAGCAGCACCAAGTTTGGCATCACACTGCGTCATCACCCACTCGCCGGTGGTAGTCATGTGACCACAGCCAGCGCTCTGACTGGGCTCTCCCTCCTTCCAGTTTGAATACAACCCCTCCTCTTCACCAAGCCATGTAAAAGTTCTGCCCTAAAAATGACAAAACAATGTATGATTTTACGCTGCTGTTTTGTTATTGTGTGTTGTGTATTGTTGAAAATAAACTGTATAACATTACAAAAACTTCTACTCTAGAACTATAAAAGGTTTGAAACGGGCCAATATAAACAAATGAGATGATCCAAGTGAATATTTGGTTAATTTGCAAATGTTACCGAGCTGTTGTTGACAGTATAACAGATGGGTTTACAAATGGATGGACAGCTCCAAGAAGTGATATTTCCTTCCATCAAAACTGTTTAATGCTCTACTGTGAAGCATTTCAGGAAAGCAATATCTCCATGGAGACGAGCAAAAACAACTCCACAGAGACAAACAGAACCAGAGATGTTACAAATGTGCACCTTTAACACGGTCAGAAGATTGTCACACTAATACTCTTACTCCATGTGGAAACGATGGCCCAATAGTTTGAGTGTTTATCTCTTATCCTAACAGAGGCAGCATTGTGTCATTGGGCAAGACACATATCAAAGAGTTATTTCACTTTTTTCCTTTGCTACATAATTCCATATATCTTAATTCAAATATCTGGCATCTTCTGTATGCATACAAAATGTAGAAAGTAATAAAAATAAGGAAAGAAAACACTGAATGAGATGGTTTGTCCAAACTTTTGACTGGAAATGTAGAATATGCCTTTTTGTCTATTTTCCTTTTGTGTTATTGTCATATATTTATGTTCTTGTGATATTGGTTACTGATACTTTCTAGCTGATGCCATCAACATTCCCTGAAGGTGCTATGTTTGAGACTTTGTTACACTTTAATCTGAGCTTTAGTTTAACACAGTTTGATTAGAAAGAACTGACTTGGTAAAAATTACAACAGGAGCTGATTTGTGCTGTTAAGCAGGTCCCTCTCAGTTAGTCACTCTCAAAAATCAAACACCTAAACAGGACCATGAACACTCGTCTTGATCACAGGCTCCTAAAAATGTGTTGTTTTAATCCATTTTGTATTATTTTGTATTGATCTTAAAACTGTTTTGTCAGTGTTTACTAATGTGTGTATTGTGGCACCATGGGAACACAAAAATCCACTCACTCCATAGTTGTAGAGTCCCATCCAGGCAGGTCGGCGCAGGTTGTTGATGAGGAGGGTGAGGTAGGCCTGCTCGTACGGGGTCTTTATCGTGGCGAGAGTCCCGTTCAGAGACTCACACAGATGCAGAGCTCCGGTCCAGTCCAGCTTCTTCTCCACCACGCGATAGGACAGACCCCCGAGGTCCACGGGCTTCAGCAGAGAAGGGATGAGGGGAGGGGCTGGGGGCAGGCCGGGGTCTACGAGGGGGCAGAGGGTTTGTAAGTATAGGCTACACAAATATATAAACTTTATTTGTTCCAGAATGGGGAAATTCCAATATTACGACGCAAAGTCCAAGTACAACAGGAAAATGGAAATATGCGATCAAAAATCAAGATAAACAACTATTAAAATTGACTTGAATGTAATAGTTCTTTATCTTGGTTTTTAGTTTGTATTAAAGAGTATAAGATCTGTAGTTTAACAAAGGTATTCAACAGTTTCTGATTCCTGATTGTGAATTCTGAGTAGAGTGACTTAAAGGTGCATTATGCAACTTTTTGTTTGGGAGTCCGTCACCTGCTTGTTTCTATGGATGTCATTGCTCTGAAATGTTCCACAGTATGACATTAAACAGCTCTACCTTACAGTTATTACATTGCAGGTGGTTTTACTGCTCAAAAATACCTAGAAAAACAGGCATTCTGACTGTGAGTGGGGTCGCCTCTCCACAGATCTGACATGTAACTTGGTCTGGCTTGGTCTCAATGAAGAGAAAACGTGTAATACCATACTGTGAAACATTCCAGACAAAGCAAAAACATCTCCAAGTATTTGATGGATGATCCACCAGAAAAGTTACACAATGCACCTTTAAGAATAAAACACATACATTTCAACATTCTGGCAAAATTACATGCACAGGTTTAGGCTTGTTTATAGCAATTTATTAAAAGCTTCCTATTATAAGCAAAAGTAAACTTGTCATTCATCCCTAAAATATGTTATGAGATAAGAAATGCTGCTTTTCTGTAAAGGACATGAACATGCCTGATAATATTGTACCACACCTTGTTTCCTCTGACAGATGTATCCATTGCTCTCCATCTCACAGGCCCGAGACGCCCACATCCCAGTGTTCCTTTGAGGGTTACCATGACGCATCACCACACAGTTACCCTGGAAATGAGATAAATAAATAAAACATAATTAGACCATTCTCTCCAAAGCGGTTTGTAACTTCTTTGTTTTCTTCTCTCAAATAGAAAACACTCTGTTCCACCGTGTGATGTCATGTGGTAATACAGTACAAGGAGGTGCTCCACTGTGTTTTTAAACTCCATACACCTTCACTAGAATCATTTGGATGAGTTCAGATTTGGAATTGACAATCTCTACTGAATTAGAAGTAAAAGGGAGCTGTTAACTTGAAAACCATAATTTCAAACTCTTAGTTCATAACATTTACAAAAAAGACCTCCAAATTTGACCTCCAAATCTGAAATTATTCCAAGTAAATTCTCCTTGACTGGAAAACAATGCTCTAAATGCTAATGAGTTCAAATTTTCAAACAGACTAATTCCCGTACCGGAGTCCTGTTGTGGTGTGGTCCGCTGTTGTCCAGGGGCTCTCCGGGTGCCCAGTTGGTGAAGCTGAGTAGACCCGGCTGTGCCCACTGGAAATGCCCTTTAGAGTCTGAGGTCAGGCCCAGCCACAGGTCAATGCTGGTGTTAAACAGGAGAGTGGTGACGAAGGCTGAGGGGAGAAAACAATAAAATGAAAATAGAGCTTTTGTAATGTCATATTCACTGTGGTGGAGTACAGTCAGTATAAAAGATACAAGCGGTTTATCATCTAAATTATATAAATTAATAATTTCATATGCACAAAGAAGAAAATACGCTTCTACAAATAGAGATGGACCGATCAAGCTGTTTCAGTTCAAATACTAGAGCTTTAAGTATAAGTAATGCAATGAGACAAACTGATCCAAATGTGTTATAGAGCTGTTATTTATCTCTACAAAACTACAAAAACAACTTTATATACATTTTCTGATTTTCTGTACCAACTATATTCTGTATTGGCTGACTCAATATTTGTAAGTCAATACTCAATCCAGCAAATTTGGGTTGGTGCCTCCCTAGTCGCAAGTTTGGCAAGCAAATTTTCTCATTTTCCAGTGGAGTCTATATGTGCATGTAAATGAATTAAAGTTGAACAGTTACTCTAAAGATTCTCATTATTTAAAACATTACCTTGTTCTAAATGGTTCGACACCACCGCCAGAACACCACCGTTTGCTTCACATTTCAGTTTGGCTCCTGACCATGTGATCTTGTTCACCTGGTCAAACACTCGGAAGCACTATAAAACAGGAAATACGAGTTTGTAACCTCGGCCGCATCCAATATCTGTTCAAATGACACCTTGATTTAACTCGATTCAACTCGATTCCTCAGCTGTCAATCAAGATTACTGAGATGAATGTGCCAATTGGAAATAAACCGCCCTGAAAAGAAACTGGACGCCACCCTAACTTTGATTCATAGCAATGTTATAAAATGGTAGTTCTAACCTTATGGCGATAGGCGGTCCACCCGTCGACACATCCAGACTGAGGGAGGGGTGAGGTGGGGGTGGGGGGAATCGTCCCGGTGACGTTGACTCTTTTGCAGATATAAGGCAGGTCTGAGTGGCACTTCTGATCTGACCAGTCACCTGTAATGCCAACATTTTATATTCAAATAATTTCATTTGATTTTCATTGACTTAAAAATAAAGACAGAACTACTCCATTTATTCACTGTGATAAGTTTGACAGAACACAGTGATCTCTTTTGTGATTTATCAGTACTGTGGCAAAACTAACTTCGCTCAACTACATGGAAGAAAAATGAGTACAGCTATTTTAACTTTAACATGAAAAAATTGAGTTAAAAACAGTTAAGTTAGTTTATACCTTTGCTGGCAGAGAGGTGCACACATTTGCGGTCTCGGCTGAGGGGGTGTGGCCTGCCCAGAGCCCAGGACATGTAGTTGAGCACAGAGAAGTCAGACCATCGAAATCTGCCGTCATTTTCATAAGTGTGAAGACCAAGCCACCAGTTGTCCCCTTCTACCTTCTCCATCTGAAAGTAACAGAACCATGTTAAAGGATCCGTACCAGGCTTTAGTTTGGATTTCAGCGATCCGTTTTCATGACATGGGGCGGTAGTAGCTCAGTTGGTAAAGCATTTGTCAACTGACCCGAAGGCTGGCAGTTTGAATCCCGCTCTCGACATTAAAAAAAAAACAAACTTCAATGGTTGATCGGACAGATCCACTAACTCACAGGTTGGTGGTGTGATTCTAGCTCCCACAGTGCTTTCGTTGTGTCCTTGGGTAAGAAACTTAACCCTCCATGCCCCTAGTTTCTGCATACACTGGTGTATGAATGTGCATGTGAATGGGTGAGTGGTTCCTTGTTGTAAAGAGAATAAACTTTAAAAATGTGACAATTTACAATAATAATTTTAATATTTAGGTCATTATAAACCAAAATATTTATCTAGAACAACATAAAGATGGAAGATTTCTGTTAGTGTCCATGAAGATTTTATTATTTTGCCTTGAATATTCCAGTGTATGGCATTAAACAAATTATCTCTCCATATAGGCAAGAAGGAGACACCACTAGGCCAATTTTACAGGTCATATCTGTGAAGTGACCTTGCTCACAAAGGAGTATATTAACATCGATATCGGGACAGAAAAAGTTGGATCACTGAATCCCTATTTAATAACACATGCAGCTAATTTTTTTTAATACAATGGTTTTGATTTGCCTACATTATCAAGCAAAAACTGACCAGTGTAAGCCATGGACAGAGTGTGAATAGTAAAGGGGCAAGTGAACCAACCTTTGTCTCTACATGTCAGTGTGTTAGCCCTTAAACCAAGCCCATAGGCGCCGTGTCAAACCTGATTGTTGTCTAGCTGTGACTCTAGTGCTAGGACCATTACCCGACAGCATTTTAGCATAGAAAGGTTGTGTGTGTTCGTGCCGAGCCTGGTGCAGACCGCAGCATCACTAATGACCTTTAGCTGCAGGTTGAAGCTTGTTTGGTATGTCTGAGTTTGCCCTGATCACTACCAAGGCCCTGACAACACACTGGCAATCAAATTTGACAAATGAAGACTCCTTATCTCATGGTTAGACCTGGTTTTAGCTCTGGTTTAAGGACACAACAGTAGTATGCATTGAGAGTAGCAGGACTTGAACTGTCAACCTAATAGCTATATTCAATTACAAGTGTTTTTATTGCAAAAATAAACCCATCCATTTTTACACTGACAACTGCTTCATGCCTCCGTGGGAATATATGAGTTTCTATTAGTCACTAGACTCAAGAACTTCCTGTATTACAACAATATCTGCATTTTAACTAACTGTATTAATGGTCCTATATTACACCAAATGGACTCTTGTGAGCTTTAAGCCATGTTAGAATGTTGTTACCTTTTATTATTAGTCTTTCTACATCTCCAAAAGCTCCATCTTGTGATGTAATGAAGGTTTCAGTTTTTGTTTAGTAGAAATTGGCAATTCCAGGGCTCAGATTATCCAAATGATTCGAGCAAAGGTGTAGAGAGTTTAAAACATGTGCAGGATTTACAGGATTAAACATGTGTGAATGAAACAAAACACAACTCCAGGTACGTTTTTGATGAGGAAACATAAATGGCACGATATAAACCCTTTAAATATTATAGAACTATATAATTTTGTGATGTAATTTGAAACTCAATAAAACAGGAGCTAAATAGTATATAAATGCTGCATAACCTTGCGTAATGTACTGGCCAGGAAAGCCTCTTCGTCGGCTGAGTGGACAGAGGCCAGTGATGAGTCAAACCAAGTGCAAATCCTCTGAGCCTGGTCCCATGTGGTGCGATGGTCGAAAAACTTATACTCGGCCTCCTGGAAGCCAATCCACTCTGGTGAACTGGCCCCTGGAAAATCGGAGGAGAGAGGAGGTAGATCGAAAACAGATAGAGTTACATCATAAAACCCCGAAAGATATTTATATAAACAAAGAGTTCAAAAATGAAACAACAGACCTTCTGGTGACTCTGGTTCTTTCTCTACACTTCCTAAAGCACAAAGGAGAGATGTGAGGATAAGGCAGAGATAAAGGAGTGTTTCATATCAAGATGAGCGTATTACTGGTAGGATACTAGCTTCTATTCATGGGTTTCTGAATGATGAAAAATTAAGACAGTTGAATAGTTGTGAGTAAGAGATAATATGGCTGAGTTCACACATGCGCACAAAAAATAGACTAGACAGGACTAGACCAAACACTAGTCTAAATAGGGAATGAAACACAACCTGGACAAGACAGGAACTAAAAAAACATCCAATTATCCTTGCTTTGTCCCAGTTTAATTTAAATTTAGAAATTTAGAAATGTGTTGTTTTGTCCTGTTTTTTGTTTTGTTTTTTTTGTCCTACCAAAAAAACAAAACCAAAACTGAGTTGGTACTAGACCAAATCAAAACCATGTTCAAGACGGAAAGGAATAGTCTTGAACATGATTTTGATTTGGTCTAGTACCAACTCAGTTTTGGTATCATTCTTGGTTTTTGTTTTTTTTGGTAGACTCCAAGACTACACATAACCAGTTCAGACACCTAACATTAAGATTAAATCCACCACAACACTTGTTGTTTAGTCCAGCTGTGACAGTCAGTTTACATTTGGTGTTTTACTGATTTAGAAATATTGTAGTTTTAACACAAATATAAGTCTTTCAATGTGATAAACAGGTGTCCTAAAATAGTGAGTACCTCTGGGGATCTTGCATATCCAGTCCAGCTCAGAGTCGCAGTGCATGGCAAGCCACGTCATTGTGCCCAGACTGGCCGCAGCGCATGGGCGAATGTTGTAGTACCGCCCAAAGTTCTGGTATGTCACCTGGAGACAGTCATATACAAGTTAGTGTATTATGTTATTTTACATATGGCATTATTTCTTCTATAAATTCACTCACAGCCAGCCCGTCACTCCACTTCCAGCTGCCGTTGTCCATTGGGTTTCTCCGGTTCAGTCCGATCCAAAACCACCTGTGCTCCTCATCCTCAGAGTCTCTGTAATAAATATCATGCTTGTTATGGTGGATTTGAGTAGATTTTATGATGATAAAGGTGGGATATAATATGTGGAGAATTCTTTTATTAGGTCCCAAGTGAGATTTACGGACTACAGTAGCTCAGATAGTAGAGTTGCAGTCTTATAACTGAAAGAATGGAGGTTTGGTTCCAGCTTTAATCAACGCTTACTGTTGTTGGGTCCACCGGCAAGACACTTCACCCCTCTTGCAAAATGTGGTTACAGTATGAACATGGTTTGTGAATGATTAGAAATGAGTCAATGTTAAGGATTGTTGAGAGTCCAGTAAGAAAATGCTATATCGATTGAGGGTAGAGCTGGGAAAAATCCTCACCCAAACGCTTCATTGAGGACCTGCATGACAAACTGCTCCTCCTCTGCACTGCTGATGCTCAGGAGGTTTGCTCCATGTGTGCGACAGAAGAGATGAGCCTGGAGCCAGCTCAGCCTCTGCTCCATCTGAGACGAGTGGAACACCTGGAGACAAGGCAAGCATCAGAACCACTTACATTTATTCATACCCATTGAGAAATACTTGTACTTTGTTGTCTATGTTCTCGACCTTTTTCCCTCAGCCACTTGAATACCTTGGTGACCCTAACATCTTTCTACCTGAGAAGTTACTGCCTTGTAAGGAAAAATACGAATATTTTCTGATTAATAGATGTGTGGATACTAATTAGAAAATACTTGTACAGATAAAATGAGATAAAACACAATCTAGTTTGGCCCTCTTTTTGAAGATCCCTGGGGACACCCTGCGAATTCCCAGGTTGGTTGCAGAATTGCGCTATATTCATTTAATTTATTTGTTTGGTTTATTTGAATAGAGACAGGAACACTGAAGAGTCTGATGGATGAATATATATAATGTGGAGGTTTTAAAATCACTTTTTAAAAATAATTCTTTTTCAACAACTAAGGCCTGGCTCCTGCAACAGCAGCAATGCCAACATGTGTACATTTTGTGTGTGAAAGAGAAAAAGAAAGGGAGGGCAGGAGAGAAAAGGGAATGAGAAAGAATGAAATTTTGTTATTTGATTCTCTTGACACATTCATTGTATTTATTGCTTTTTCAACCAATAATCCCATTGCTTTTAAAAGCCCTTATGGGACTGGTGTTGTGAATTAGTCTCGGCTATAAACTCTGATACCTGGATCATATTACTGAATTATTAATCTATGTTTGTATATATGTCTGTGTTCAAAGAAACAAGAAATAAATACATCATTTATTTATTCACACCTTAGGACAGCTCAATGAATTTAACTAGAAACAGATAGACTATAGTCCTTTCTGGGGTGTTAGTTATGCAGTTATTCTTTTTCATGTATTTATTCACACCTTAGGGTAGATAGTCCTTTCTGTAAACAGCTAGGGTGTGTTATTTGTGTAGTTATCTTCTCCCTTCAGACACATCCTTCAGCCAGCCGCTTCTCAAAGCTGTCCCAGAATTTAAGAAGTACTTGGATGAAACATATTCACTCTAAAAACTTTTGGCCAGTTGACAAAATTCAGTCTAGTCTCAGAAAATGTTTAATTTATGCAGACTTAAAACCCCCCAAACTGCCTCATCCGACTATTTTGTTTTGGTTTCATTTCTAACATTAACGGAATAGGTTAAACATCAAACAGCCGGTCTATGCCAGCAGCTACATTTGGGACAGGCCTTTGATGTGGTTCAGTCTCATTCACATGACATCGGATTCCAGACAGTTTTATGGGCTGGGATATTTAAACAGTAATTTCTATGTCTTTTAAAGTTTGTGTTAAATATAGCATGCACCAATGGTTGTAATATGACAATCTACCGCGTCTTAGAAAAGCCCAAAATCTTCCTTTCCTTTCCTCATCAAAAATATACCCAGAGATGTGTTTTGTTTCATTCACGCATGTTTGAGTCATTCTTTATTATCAATCTGTCTACATTGCCAAAGCTGAAAATGCTCTATTCCCCCTTGTGATGTCATGTAGTGGTAGTTTTCAAGTTAACTGATACTTTTTACCTTTAGTTCAATAGAGATGGGCAATTTCAGGTCTGAAATCATTCAAATTAGTCTAGTGAAGGTATATGGACACATTGGAGCACTTTCTGTATTAACTAAGTGAAAAGAAACTGGACGCCAGAGTGTTTTCTGTCTGACTGAAGAACTGAAACAAAACACAACTCTAGGTATGTTTGTGATGAGGAAGTAACAGAAAATATGGACCCTTTAAAATCACAATATGACACCAGATGGTTATATTGCATAAGAAATTACTCTCCATAAAATAGTATCTTTACAAATTTAAAGGTTATAACAAAATATGCATGCTATCATATTATTCTTCTTAAAGGTGCACAATGCCACATTTCTGGTAGAGACGCCCCACACCTTCCGTGGAGATCCTTTGCAAGGAATGTTCCGCAGTATGCCATGAAATGTACATAATTTGCATTTATCTAATGACATGTTATTTAAAACCACACTGTGTAAGATTTAAGATTTAAGGTGTTTTATTGCAAGAAAGAAAACTTTAAAAACTTGTATTTTTTGCATGCTTGCCTCTCCACAAAATTTCCACACAATGGCATAAAACTCATCCATCTCCACAGAGAATGTTAAAAAATGAAAACCCAACATTTTTTATCTCTTTTTTATCTCATGGAGTCATGTGTGCCACCCCACCAACAAAAAACAATTATATCATTCTCAGATTTTGAATATATACCTTACATCATTTCTGTCACCCCTCCATTGGTGCTTTAGTGTCTCACCTTGTAGCAGTAGCGCAGGTTGTTGTTGCTCTTCCAGCCTCGGGGGCAGGCTCCGCTCAGACTGGGGTGGGGCTGGGGGACGGGGGGCAGAGGGGCGGGGGGCTCCGGGCTCAGAGACGTGTCCTGGGTTTGACGACAGATGAACTTGGCTTTGGTCGCGCTGCACTCTCTCACCTCCCACAGACCCGTCGCATAACCCGTCGCCATGGAGACGCAGCCACTGCCATCCACCGACACTGAAATAGATAAATACAGGTGGTACATTGAGTGTAAGAAGATACTGTTTATATTGCTTATTGTTTAAGGTAGATCCCCAGTCGCAATACTTCCTGGGGTCCATTAAAATACAGAAATATACATTCTCTGAAACAAAATCTGTTTCTATTTCATACACTTACAACAGTCAGCTCCAAGGGTGTCGGATTGGGGAGGGTAAAAGGTACTATTTACTCAGGGCCCAGAGCAGGGAGGGGCCTTTCACAAAATGTATAATATGCAATTTTCATATAAAGAACATGTAATATTGGCCCACCAAGAGGATTTGTACTACACCCATGGTCAGTTAAATATGTAATTAAGAAAGAGTTGTACATTGTGAATATGTCTTATATTATTTCATTTATTTAGCAGTTTAACTTGGAAGGATCACCTACAATACTGGGGTTACACATTTTTGTTGATTTATTTTATTATTAATTATAACTTGCCTGTAAATACCTTGGTGGCCCTTCTCTTACCTACGTGAGATGTGACTGTCTAAGTAATAAGGAAAAATATTAATATTTTCTGGCTCAGAAAGATATCATAGGACAATATGTACTTTACATTAAACACTATCCCTTCATTAAAATTCACACAATCTAGTTTGGCCCTCTATTCAAGTACCCCCGTGGACCCGTTTATTTATTTTGTTTAATTGGACAGATACAAAAACACTGACTAACTTTACCACTGCAGTTCAATGGATGCATATCTATCTTATTTATTATATCGTTATCTTATCTTTATTATAACTTGTTGGGGAAGAAATCACATGTTTTTTATCTGTTAGAAAAACATTAAGAACCTTGAAGAAATGTTGAATGAAGCCAAAAAAAAACAAAAAAAAACAAGTCACACTGCCCATCCACCATTAAATTCCCCATAAACTCTTCAATACGATCAAACACTGGTGTAAGGAGGCTCATCGATACAATTTTAGGGGTACAGGGCAAGAAGTCTCACATGGGACCCCCTCTAATATTAATCAATAGAAACCCCACCCCCCCACCACCTGCTACTGCTCTGGGTTTAAGTAACTGATAATCATAACATAATCATTTTCTATAATAGTATGTTAATAGTAAAAAAAAATAGAACTGAAAATTTTGAAATGTCCACATTGCGTTTTCATCAGTTTAATGTGTATTTTTTCACAGCCATTGTCAGCTCAACATTGTGGTATATTTGGAATCTAGACAAAGAGATGCCTGAGGGTCCGGACGACTGAACCTTTTGTAAATCCACTAAAACATTTCATCATTGTTCCTCACACAAACATCTAAGGATCTGATGAAACACAAACACACCAGAGGAGTCTGAACAAGCCTAAAGGTCTCAAACCTTCACTGCTTTGATCAGTGCGGTTCATGCACAGAGATAGGAGAATTAGGGTGAAGCGATACAGTTTTCCCACGATTCGATATGTACCTCGATATCGATTCAATACGTTTTTAGACGCGAAAAAGAAAAATCTCATGTCATTTTTTTCTGCTACTGCGTATAATATAATATAATACTATGATGTTAATGAAACGATACATACATTAGATACAGTACATTACAGTGCAACTACTGTAAAGTTGTAGTTTATATGTGAAGTGTTTTAGTTCATTTGGTTCAATCATTCACAGCATTTTTATTCAGTGAAAATAAGAACAGAGCTTTCTCCGGCTATTTTATATTTTATAATACAACCAGTCTACTCTTAATACAGACTGTAGGGGAGTTACAATATCTGACTTTCTCTTTTTTGATGATGATTTCATGATTTCTTTTCTTTTCCTCCTGAGTCTGTCTCTCCTCTCACTGCTTTCACAGAGGCTCCCTGTGTCTCTGCTGCTCTGCCTCGTCTCCAGTAGCAGCAGTGACAGACAGTAGCTCCTCCCACACTGCCCTGCTCTTTTTACACACACTGCACTCTGCCATTTTCTTTCTGGACACTAAAACTATGTTATATTACAAAGAAATGTATTATGAAATAGAGTCTAAGAAAAAGATTGCGTATATCACGAGTCGCGGCACGGGTGTGTCACAAGCGCATTTGATTAAAGCCGATGTAAAGTATTTAAAAGTTCATATATTAAAAGGGTTAATTTACATAAAATAAAAAGTGACTGAAAGATAAAAGCCACCTCTTAGAATATTTCAGCTGTAAGTCCCTATGGAGCCGTTTTCTTGCTGCATCTGAGAGGGACGCCGCGATGACCGTTTCTCTTTCAGACCAAAATAAATAGGAACAGAGCACATGTGGAGGGACACATGCATATCGACTGAACATTTGTATCAAATTGTGTCACCAGTATCGAACGATTTGACCATTAAAGTACTCGTACATTTAAGTAATGAATCAAAACAAATCATAGTGTAAGTCTGTTAAATGTCACTATAGTATGTTCAGTGCTGGTCTCCATGGAGATGTTAATGTTTTTTTCTGAAATGTTTCACCATATGGTATTATATGTATCTATTTATATGCCACCAGGCCAAGTTAGAAGTCGTGGAGAGGCGACTCCACGCACGGTAAATAAGAATGTAAGTTATAAACGTATTTATTAAGGTCCTTTATTGGACTAAACTGACTCTTGTGAGCTTTAAGCCATGTTATAGAGCCGTTACTTCCTCAAAAAACATACCTGGAATTGTTTTGTTTCATTCACACATGTCTGAATAATCCTGCATCATTAGTCTGTCTCCAGAGTTCAAGATGCTCTGATCCACCTTGTGATGTCATGAATTGGTACTTTTCAAGTTAACAGATCCTTTTATCTTTTATTTAGCAGAGATTGGAAATTCCAAGGCTGAAATTATCCATATGATTCTAGTGAAGATTTATGGAGTTTAAAAACACAGTGGAGCACATCCTGTATTACCAAATGACATCACAAGGTGCTGTTTTCTGTGTGAGAGAAGAACTCAGCCTATATATGTAGAATTTGTGTGTCAAACATGTGTGAATGAAACCAAACAAAACTCCAGGTTTGTTTGTGATGAGGAAACAACATTATAACATAAATCAGAAGACAGAGTAATATGGACCCATTAAGAGTTATTAGTCCATGTACAAGCAGTTACTAAACAGGAAAATTCACAGCTAATGAAAACTGCTTTGGCGTCAAATAAAGACTCCATGATGCAATACTACACTATGCTATAATTGTACTTGTAAAAAAAGCACCTGGGATCAATCAGGGAAGTATTTTGTTGAAGTTAAAAAGCTGAGACTGGATTCAGGGGCTTTCGGATCAGAGGAAGCTGTAAAAACTTGACCATTTGGAGATTTAAATTAACAAATTAGAGGAAAATGTGATTCAAGTTTTGAGGTGTACATACCAAGCCCTGAACATTTTAAAGGTCCTAGATTACGCAAAATTTACCCTTGTGAGCTTTTAGCCATGTTACAATGTTGTTACCTCCTCAAAAACAGACCTGGAGTTGTGTTTTGTTTCATTCACACATGTTTGAGTAATGCTCCGTTCTACCTTGTGATGTCATGCAGTGGTAGTAGTTTTCAAGTTAACAGCTACTTTTTACATTTAGTTCAGTAGAGATGAAGACTGAAATGACCCAAATTATTCTAGTGAAGGTGTATGGAGTTTAAAAACACAGTGGAGCACTTCTTATATCGCCACCTGAAGAAATCAAACTAAATATTCAGAATTTGTGTGTTAAACCTGAGTGACTGAAACAAAACAAAACTCTATGAGGAAACAACATTATAACATAGATCAGAAAATAGCGTAATATGTCTTTTTGTTTGTTTGTTTGTTTGTTGATTTGTTTTTTTAAGTATAGGGGGCGCTCTGGAACAGTTATCCATTTCCTTTTTTAACTCTAACTTTCTTTTGGTTAAATCACCAGTTTCATGAGGCCCCTTGAGGTGACTGCTGTTGTGATTTTGGGTTATGCAAAAATAAACTGAATTGACTTGAATTTCAGATTAATCAAAGTACGTGTTTTATCCAAGGGGAATTTCATTATATTCACATCTATAATCATTGTTTTTCTCTGTATAAACCTTTGAGACATGTTTACTGGTTTACTGGCTCCTTCTGTAATCTGATCTGTGCTTCTGGAAATGCATACGGCTTTTTTGAGAACAAGACACTAACCAACATGGTGCTCGTGTTTGCGCAACGTTGTGAATTTTAGAGGTTTTGTTTCATTCCAAGAGGTTTGAGACCCCCAGAGAGATTTAAATGTGTAACAAAAATATATTATGTTCCCTGTGTCAATGACCCCTCTATTATGTCACCACCTTTTTACATTTTAAATATCTTATGCTAAATGTTTTACATTAACTTATGGTAAATGAATGTAAAATTGATGATCTTAGAATGTATATTATTTGCTTTGGAGCAATATAAAATAACTGCATGGAAAATTGTGACATAATATATAGGGCTGGGTGATATGGATCAAAAAATATATCTCGATATATTTTGCTATATCTCGATATACGATATATATCTCGATATATGTTCAAGAAAAAATAACCCCCTAAAACTGAAAACTGCAAAAACAAATCTGCCAAATTCCACAAGGTCTTTTTTTTTATTAAAGTGTAAGAGGTCAACAGTTCATATAGGAACATTTAAGATTACAAAAACCCTAATTACATAAATAATAATTTAACTGTTAAATAAAAGAAATAAAACATATTTCCTTTGTTTCATTCATAAATTAAACAACTCAAGACAAGCTCATCTTTGCATTAACTCTGTTATCCAAACCAGAACCAGAACCATGAGCTCATTTAGTAGAAGAAGCTCAGGATGTTCCTTATTTTAACAGACACATGTTCCTCACCAGCATCAGGAGCTCTGAGGTTTAATCCCACAATCCACTGCAGATCAAACCAAACGATTCAAACACTGTTGTACAAGTGACACTGCAACAGATTATTCATTAAAATCTTCTGCATAAATAAACTTTACATTGCTAAACTTTACAAGATATAGGCCTATAGCATAACGACTCAAGAGCCACATCAGCCCGTTTGAGATTATAGTGTTAATTATTATTATTATTATTTTTTTTGTTTTTTTGTTGCAGCTTTGCGTAGACTTGTTAACGTTTTACAGAAACGAAACTTAAAAAGCGCATGGCTAATTTGCATAAACAGCGCACTCCACGTGCCGCTCTTGCGGTTCAACTTCTTTTGGACTAAAGGACATGACTCGGTGGAATATGAGGATGTGCTGCTGATGGTTTTGTCTGTAAATGGTGGAAAAGGTTCGTGGTGCTTGAAGCTTTTCACTGGCACCAACTTTCGGCGTTCACGGTGGTAGTGAGGAGTGAAGGAGACACGAGCGAACAAAATCAGGAAGGCGGAGGCGCGCGGGCGACGAGAGAGAAGGTAAACAAGCGAAACGGCGAAATCAAAATTGAATATAAGCATTATATCGATATATACGATATGTCAGAATTCATATCGAGTTTTTAAAAAATCTCGATATATTAAAAATATCGAGATATCGCCCACCCCTAATAATATATATTAAACCGGGTAAACAGTTAGGTTATTGTTGTTTGTTGAACCACCCTTTGCTCACCAAAACAACTGTACAAATGTGTTCATATAGTGAAATTGTCCAGGCATAACAATGGCAGGTTTGAAGTTCCTAAATTGTGCAAAATGAACTCTTGTGAGCTTTAACTCTTGTAAAAAACATACCTGTTGTGTTTTGTTTCATTCACATGTTTGAGTAACGCTTTATTATGAATCTGTCTATGTCTCCAAAGCTCATAAAACAGTAGTTTAACAGCTACATTTTACCTTTATCTCAGTAGAAATTGGCAATTCCAGGGCTGAAATCATTCAAATGAGTGTTTTCTGTTTGAGAGAAGAACTCAGCCTAAATACGCAGAGTTTGTGTGAATGAAACAAAACACAACTCCAGGTCTGTTTGTGATGAGGAAACAACATTAATCACTAAAATAGCGCAATAGCGTAATATGGGCCGTTTAAGGTGTTACCTGGCTGGTCTCTGTTCCAGTTGGTGTAAGTCACTTCGTCTCCTGTGAGCCAGTGGTACGAGCCTGCTTTGCCCTGATCTTGGAGCCCGATCCAGAATGAGTCCCCAGAGCGACCGAACACCAGGCTGTTGGCATAGGCCTGCTCAAATCTGCAAAATATTAGTCATTTTAGTGCAATAAAAATAAATAAATAAACAACATAAAAAAGAGCAGTAGTGTTTTGTACCTGTTGGTTATAGTGACAAGTGCAGATTTATGCTCCTCACAGACTTTTCTGGCTTCATCAAACGTCTTGAGGTCTTCGACGACCCAGTAACATGACGGACTGTGCCACTTCCAGCCCTGAACAAATCCAAACAAAAGCAGAATATTCAGTCATTTGTCAGAAAACAGTAAAAACCCACTAGCTACAAACCCTTTAAGTCACAATAGTAAAGAGTGTAGCCCTGGTTTTAGCCCAGTTTAGTTCTGACATAGGACATGGTTTGGTCCTGCCAAGTCCACATTTAATCTTGGTCTTGTCCATGGAAGCAAGATCTGGAAGATGAACCCCAGATGGTGTTGTGTTGTTTTCTATAGCCTGTGCTCACTGGTGCGAAATGGCAAAAGCGTTTTTTAATTCTGCAGTAATTCCTGAATACTGGTCTAGTCTCTGATGATTGAAAAATATTAAAAAGTCCATACTGTAAAAATACAAAACAAAATCCACTAGTCGATCTTGCACGGGAACAGATGGGAAGTGTCTTATCCCGTTTTAATTACATGTTCCAGTCAAGGCTTACTCCCTGTTTACCCCCCAAATTAATCATATCAAGTGTCCTTGTCATCATAAAGATATTTCACACTAAACAGTACAGATTAATCTATCTTTCAAAACACCACTTAAAATAAATACTATGTTTTAAAACCAAGCAATCAGCAAGATTTGTAACTGTTGAGGGGTTGCTCCGTTTTGAGTTAATGACATTTTAATATACACAAATGAATTTTTATTAATGATTCAAATATTTTAGTACGTCAAAGAAAAACGAATACAAGGAATTGGGACATGCCGACTGCTAAAAGGTGCTTTTTTTTAAATAAATATATATATGTAAACATCATAATTCTTACACTCTCCCGACTCTCTTTTCAATAGGCCTCAGTTTTGTTGCCAACTCATCTGCTGACAGTGCAGACGTGTACACTGCTCCTCCAGCCCGCAGCAGGTCAATGGGGTGAGACAGATACTGCAGTTATGTGTGAGTGAAAGAGAGAGAACGAGGGACAGAGAAAGAGGGAGAGGGGGGACGACAGAGGGGGAGAGAGAGGGAGAGGGAGGGAATGATAGAGAGCAAGGGAGGGAGAGAGAGGGAGGGGGAGAAAGCAAGAAGGTGTAGCGAGAGGGAGAGGAAGAGAGAGAGAAGGCAGGAGAGAGGGAGGGAGTGATAGAGAGCAAGGGAGGGAGAGCGAGGGAGGGGAAAAAAGGGAAGAGAAAAGAAGGTATAGACAGAGGGAGAGAAAGAGAGAGAGAAGGCAAGAAAGAAGGAGGGAGAGGAGTAATAGAGAGCGTGTGAGAGAAAGAGGGCATTAGTGGAGGAAGAGACACAGAAAGAGAGAGAGACAGAAAGATAGAGGAAGTTAGAGGAGGGAGAGGGAGTAATAGAGCAAGGGAGAGAGAGAGCAAGACAGAGGGAGTTAGAGGAGGAGAGAAGGAGAGGGAGAGAGGGAGAGGGAGTAATAGAGAGGGGAGGGAGTGATAGAGAGCAAGGGAGGGAGAGGGGGAGGGGAAGAAAGTGATGAGAAGAGAAGGTGTAGAGAGAGGAAGAGAAAGAGAAGGCAAAAGAGAAGGAGGGAGAGGAGTAATAGAGAGCGTGTGGGAGAGAGAGGGCGTTAAAGGAGGAAGAGACAGAGAAAGAGAGAGAGACAGAAAGAGGAGGGAGTGATAGAGCAAGGGAGAGAAAGAGCGACAGAGAGGGAGTTAGAGGAGGAGAGAAGGAGAGGGAGTAATAGAGAGGGGGAGAGAGCGAGAAAGACAGAGAGAGGAGAGAGTCTGAGAGAAAGAGAGACTGAGAGGGAGAAAGAGAGCGTAAAAGAGAGACAGAGAGAGAGAAAGGGGCGGAGACTGGGAGACTGACAGAGATGGAAAGAGTGGGATAGAGTGTAAGAGAGACTGAGAGAGACAGAGAGAAAGAGAGGGGGACTGAGAGGGAAAGAGAGAGGGAGAGAAAGTGAGAGAAGATCTGCTGTGTGAACTCAAACCACATCTGGCCCAGAGACACAAACCTCTAAGTGTTAAGCTGAGTCCAAATACAGATTTTGCACATATTTTGGGCTTCTGCGGCTCACATTTAGGGCACATGATGCAATCAGAGTCAGAAAAGTGTATGTCCTCAAAGCATGTTTTTGAATAGGAGTTATTTTGCAACTGCAGTTAGGCTAAAGATGTAAAAATGGGCTTTGCTGGTTAAATAAACCCACACAACACTGAACCATTAATGCCAAGGATCAAAACAGATAGTGAAGAGTGAATATAGTGTGAACTGTAAAGACTGCAAACCATTAATGAACAAATTATTTTATCTAGATTTTAAGGATTTATAGCAGAAAGGAGAAGGCATGACTTAGCTAAAGATTTGAGAGTGAATCATGAGTTTAATCTGCCTTTTTAGTTTTTAGATATAAATACACAGTTTCGTTGTACTTTTCTATTTAAAATATTTGGTTTTTGTATGAACTCCCATGCAGGTGTAGTCTTGTGAGTGCAGGTGTAGTCTTGTGAGTGCAGTTTTGATACATAGGCCACGTCTCAATTCTCTTTCCTTGCTTCTCCCCGATCCTCCATTTTTTCAGCTGTCAGTCAAATGCGTCATATTAAGTGATGCCCCAAAGAAAACCACGAAAGGAAGGAGTAAACCTGAGGGAGGCTTCGGGAGGCATCAGATAAAATAATCAAACTTTATTCATGTCAGTGAAGAGTTATACCCTCTCTCCTTGCTGTGTGCAGAATCGAGAAGCGAAATCAAGGAGAAGGAAGCGAGAAAAGAGAAATGAGATGCAGCCATAGATAAGTTTAGCAAGCATTTGCCACAAGCTCTTTTTAATCCACTAATCGATCAGCAAGACATGTCTTTACTCGACTAAAAACGTGTTCTGTTCAGTTGAGTACAACTTTATTCGTTATAAGTCACCAGCAAACCACCAAAGCAAATTTATTTTCATATTTATGTTGAAATAATATCAGCATACATCTGAATTAGGGATGAATCAATCCAACTTTTTCAGCTCCAATACAGATACTTTAGCTTTTAGTCTCTGCTGGTATCCCATATTAACAAATAACAGTACAGGGACTGAGAATGACCTTTTTTCCTCACCAAAACACAGTTAACTTATTACAAAATTCCAGCATATAACTTTTGAACAGCTTTGTATGAATCAGCCTGAAAATAGACTTCTTACATCAAATTTAAAGGCCCTACCAGCTTTACGGATCAGTGGTGAAAGGTAACAAAGTAAAAGAACAATACTTATCTGGGGTATCTTAAGTGAATTTTACAGTGGATACATTTTACTTTTACTTCACTACATTTGAGAGCATGTATCTGTACTTTCTATTACACTACATTTTAGGTCTGAAGTGAAAAGTAAAAAGTAAATTTCTTACGGTTTGAGACCCGCTGAAATGGCTGAGACAATTTTTAGCACATTTTATTAAATTAACATTGAGTTAATGTCCAAAGTTTGAGCAAACCAGATACACAAATGCACAACAACAGCTAGATTTATTTATTTTTAATCAATTGAATAACTACTAAAAAACTGAACTAAATCAGCTAAATGCTTTATCAAAATCACTACATTTGATGCTGCACTGGATTATAAGATGCACTGTCAATAAATGGTCTATTTTCTAACTTTTTTCACAAATAAACCACACCAGACTTTAAACGAAACACAGCAGTTGGATGGGTCAGTGGGACTTTGTTTGGCGTGTTCACGGTGACTCTGGGCTTTGTTCAGTTGTGGCGTGTAGGGAGGGTGCTGTCTGGACCGCTGGATTGTCGGCGTGTTCACAGTGACGCAGTTGTTCAGTTGTGTCTAGAAGTGGCACATTGCACTCGCTTTTTTCGGTTTGTTCCTCCATTCTGTTCCTCGTCGACGTAGAGTGATGAGTGTGGCTGCGGGTGTTTTTCGCCGCACGGTCGCTGTCTGCTCCGTGTGTGTTTGGGCTGCGGGTGGTGCGGGTTGTAGTTTACTGAAGTCGTGCTGGGACACCCGAGTGGATTCGTGTATAGGGTGCTCTAGATTGTGGGGCGCACAGTCATTTTTTGATGATTTTAACAGCCCGGAAAAAACAGTACATTTTTAAACAGATATTTCAGTACTTTTACTTAAGTAGATTTATTCATGTGATACTTTTACTATGAGTAATCTTGAGAAATCTTTTGCCCATGTATCTCTACTTTTACAAACTTGAGTACTTCTCCCACAACTGTAACTGATATCAGGGGATCGATACCTGGTCCAGCAAAATTTCCTGGATTGGTGTCGATATCTGATTCCAATATCGGTATCGGTGCATAGTTCGAATAAACAAAATCTCTATGAAAATACAATAATACAATATAAAACACAAGTAGCTAAACACATTCATACACACATTTTAAAACTAAGAATAGAAACTATATTTAACTTAACTTTCACAACTACTTTTCTGAATTCTGTCACTACCCACTGTTCTCAGCATCTGCCCCTCTCTGCTCTCACAGACTGGGGCAGTTAATCACTCTATGGAGGTAATTACCCCAGACCAGTATGGGGCAAATGTCTCAGAGGTCAACGGCAGTAACATCACTAAAGCAGCCAGCATGTTTTGTCTATTAGCCTGTATGCAGACAGCTCATACGGGGGGACACGCTGTACCATCACAGGGCCGTGTCAAATGGACCATAATGCTTTGCTGCGTGAACAGAGGGGCGAAAACAAATGGGCCGATCCAAAAGACGATCATTGTCGAGCGTAACAGCTGAGGAGCAGCACGGAGAGACATCAGATACTTTTCAGAATAAATCTCAGATATAAATACTGCACAGCTGAAGGAGCAGACGGACAGAAGGTCTATGGAGTTATGGGGCATGACACTAAATGTGTTATCCACGGGTTTCAGAGTGATGCAGTTCTAGCACCGTTGTCATAGTAATTAACAACTCAAAGCAAAACATTATATTTTTTGGCTGGGAAAAAAGTGTTCAAATGTCACCTATGAACAGGAAGCTGGGATCCATGAATACGCAATACTTTTGAAGACATTAAAAAGAATGAAAAATGTGTGATTCCAAAGCCCAAAGGAAGCAGAGAGGAGGAAATAGGAAATGTATAATCTGTAAACGTACTATGAATTCAGAAAAAACATATTGGTCAAGTTGTAAAAAACAGTAAAATTTACAATACTGTGCCACAACTATTACTACAACTTTTACTGTTGCTACTTTTGTTTTTAAAATTCTAAATAATTCAAGATCCTATATAATGCAAAATGTACTCTTATGAGCTGTAACTCATGCTAAAATGTTGTTAACCATGTTAAACATACCTGGAGTTGTGTTTGAGTAACCCTTTATTATTATTAGTCTGTCTACATCTCCAAAGCTCAAAATTGTTGTTCCACCATGTGATGTCATGAAGCAATAGCTGTCCTGTTAGCAGCTACCTTTTACCATTTATTAAGTAGAAATTGGGAACTCTGGGGCTGAAATTATCCAAGTGATTCTAGTGAAGATGCATGGAGTTTAAAAACAGTGAAGCTCTTCCTGTATTACCTCATGACATCACAAGGTGTTTTCTGTTTGAGAGAACAGCCAAAATATGCAGCATTTGTGCATTAAACATGTGAATAAAACAAACTCCAGGTCTGTTTGTGATCAAGAAACAACATAGATCAAAAAATAGCGTAATATGGCCCTTTAATCTTCAAAAACATTATCTCAAAGGAAATCATAACTTGTGCATTATAGAAAGCAATTATTTTGATTTAAAACTGCTTATTTCGTTGAATGTGTGAGAGAATGATTTTGTTCCATTAGGACCAAGTGGTGTAAAAGGGTTGTGTGTGTAATTTACAACTGGAGACCAGTATAAAAACTACTAAACCCCAGCTTTAATCTGGAGGAAATTATGAGCTGCAAAATCAAACACAGATGTGGATGAGTTTCCCAGATGTGACCGTCTGTGTGGTACTGAGCAGGGCACGGCATATTTTACATTTAACAAAACTGTCTCTTTTAAAATCTACTCAGATGTAGTTGTAGTGGTGAAGAAGAATATTGAGACTTTGCTGGGTGTGTTCTACATGTATGTGTATGGTGGAAGAGTAACAAAAATCTACAAAAAATATATATAATAAGAGATTAAGATTAGCGATTAACAATCCACAACTAAATATTATATCTTCTGAATGGCCAAAAGTCAAATGTCACATAAAACAGAACAATGAAATGCATGATTAGAACGCAACAATTTGATTACTTTTTTCCATTCATAAGATATAACATTTAACAAAACTGTCTCCTTTAGAGTCTGCTCAAATTTACTTGTAGGGTTGCAGAAGAATCTTGACACTTTGCAGAGACACCATGCTGGGGGTGTTCTACATATGGATGATGGAATGTTCAGCAGTTACCCAATGCACACATGAGCAAAACTGTCAAAAAAGTTTTAAGATGGTATGAAGACTCAAGAAAAAATACAAAATGGATTTAAACAACACATTTTCAAGAGCCTGTGATCAAAATAAGCGTTCATGGTCCTGTTTCGGAGTTTGAGTTTCAGCAAAAAAGTGAGAGTGACTAACTGAAAAACTGCTGGCTCATGCTAATAGCTTGTGACTGTAATGTTATTTGAGAGGGAAATATTTAACAGCACAAATCTGTTTATCTGTGGCATTTCCAACTAATTCAGTTCTTTTTGCTCAGATTGTGTTACTGTGTCACAACCCCAAGGGAATGTTGATGACATCGGCAGCAAAGTATCAACATAATTTTTCGGAAAATTTAGAGATTAGTTATGCATTACAAAAAAGATTCAGGTTTAATTAAAGGGGTTAGGATAAGGAGTTATCTGCAGAGAATATTATTATATTTGGTTGATCCAAATAGAACATAATAGCACTAAAACATAATATAAATACAATTCTTGAAGGTGCATTGCGTAACTTTTCTGGTGGAGGGTCCGTCAAATGCTTTTCTTCATTGAGATGTTATTGCTTTGTCTGAAAGTTACAGGACAGATCTGTGGAGAGGCAACTCAATCACAATTAGAATGCGTGTTTTTCTAGGTTTAAAACCACGTGTAAGTGAATAAATGTAAGGTAGAGCTGTTTAAAGCCATACTGTGAAACATTCAACAATATACCCATAGAAACCAGCACATGACAGACCCCCATACAAAAAGTTCCTCAGTGTACCATTTATAATTAGTAAAAAGTTATCTGACCAAGCAAAATCAACCTTTAATTAACTTTCAGTCCTTCGAAACAAAGACATCTCTATATTTGAGGTGGTGTGATTTATTCCACAGTTGCGTTCTGGGGGCGGGCGGTTGGAGCAGATGAAGGAGAGCTTGGGGAGCAGGGGTGGACGTTGAAGAAATAGTTGAAATATTTAAAGCTACACTACTCACTGTCTGAAAGAGGAGGGGGCATAGCTTTGTGTTTGTACGGAAAAGATGGATAGCCTGTGAAACACTAACTCACAGCACGCACAAAGGGACAATGAAGATGACTTGAGTTTAAGAAAGGGAAACAAAGAGGAAATATGCTAGCAATGTCCAAGATCCCACATCTGGTCATCTGAAAAGCTCCCTGAGTAGTCTATGGGAGCAGCTTTATATACAGTATAACGCTCCCAAAGGCTCAGTGAATTGAATTGTCAAGTTAATATGCAAGGTCCAGCCTATAATAACAAATGTGAAGGGCATACAGATACAGACAGATACAATTTGGACCTTTTATAAAAGAGTATTCTAGTCCTTGAATACTTGAAACTTGAAAACTTAAATTTCCCTCGGGATCAGTAAAGTATCTCTCTCTGAATTTAGTATTACACTCTCCTCAAACTGCCCTTACAGAGATCTGCTGACCCTACCTGATCAGTCCTCTTCTTAAACTGCACTTTTAACTGTGACACAAAGGCGCAGTGTAGTGTGAAAATGTGAAAAACTTGAATTTTCCTTGAGACCGGGAAGAATCTCTCTCTCGCTACAATAGAATGAAGCTTAATCTAGTGATTTCTGCTTTTTATTATCATCCAAAAATTAATCTAAATGGACAAAGAAAATGTACAGTCAAATGCCCTGATACCACTTACAGAAATCTGAGTCATTTAACAGACATCACAGATGATTCAAGCTTTCGAAACTCAGTAAGACACACTAAAAAGTTTGATACTGGGTTTATAATGGAAAGTACTACTTATGGAAATTAATGCCAATTCACTGAAGCCTGAGGGTGAAGAAAAAAGGATCTGACAGCCATAGTTTGGATATGCCCATTGTAAACAAACTGAAATTACAAAATAATTAACACGTCTCCAGCGAAGCATATAGAAAAGTCATTTGTCAGGTGGGATGTGTCAAATCAAACGCAAAAGGCTCCAGATTATCAGTAAGAGTTTGAGTAAGCGTCACAGTACGTTTTTACCTGTTGGCAGTCCTGGTGCTGAGGTTTCCCGTCACTCTTGGTCCCTGGTTTCTTGCAGATGGAGGGCAGAGTCAGGTTACAGGGGCTGTCGTCCCAGCGGCCCTCCTATAAAACAGTACAGAGGAAATAAGGGATAAGGAAAACTCATTCAAACTAACCACATATATCAGTCAATGCCTATTCAAGTGAAGTTTTATAGAAGAAAACTTAATAGGGCAGATACTGGAAATGAACTGAATATGATTACCAGTAATCTACAGATAAACTAGCACTAAACCTAAACTAAACCAAAGCAGAAACAAGTACTGAACAAAAGGTCTAAACTAGTTCTACACCAGGTCTACACAAAGCTCTTAAAGGTCCTATATTACACAAAAGTGATCCTTGTGAGCTTTTAGGCATGTTATAATGTTGTTACATCCATTAATTCAGTAGAGATTGGCAAGTCCACAAAAGAAAGCATCTGAATGATCCTAGTGAAGGTGTATGCAGTTTAAAAACACAGTGGAGCACTTCCTGTATTACCATATTACATCAGAAGGTGAGACAGAGTGTTTTCTATTTGAGGTGCATTGGCACTGTTGATGCCTGGGCCCTTCCTGTGCTCCTCCACTACGACTGCTCCTTTTGGGCGGCTGAATCGCTGTGCTCTTTCATTTTAACAACGAAATTTCAGGAGACACATTTCCGCTCATGCAGAGAAGAGTTCAGAAGACAGCTCCTGTACCTTCCTGGACAGTCTATCATTTTCTTTAGTTAGATCTCTACCAATATCAATACAAGTGATTTGAGTGTCTGTTATAGGTGCTTCGAGTATCAGGGTCAAGGTCAATCATTACTTCTGCAAAGACACTTTGGCAACAAACCATCAACCTTTAAGTAGTTTAAGTATTGTACATGTGATGTACAATACAGTTCCATGGTAAACTACTTTTCTCCCCATCTACTGTAGCCTTAGCTCAAGAGGATGCTCCGTTGGCTTTCACAGTCACTCCTGCCTGGTTCTGAAGCTTCTGTTCTCACACTCCACATGTTTTGTGTCTGTTTCTTGGTTGGAGCAAGTTTGAAAGTCTGTAGAAGCACTGACTGCCCCTCTCACTCTGTCCTGCTGTTTGTTTTCTGCCACTGCTGCACTAGCAGCAGGGAAGGGGGCAAACCGGCATTACAAGCAGCAATGCATTATGAAAAGAGTAGTTCAAATTGTCTTGCGCATTTTAATCAGCAGGCTACTTTTAATAGAAATTAGAAATCGGCCTGTGGGCCGCAAGCTGGAAACCCTTGGTCTAACCCAAACCAGACCAGAAACAAGTGGTGAACTTGGTCTAAACCAGGACATAATCTCAATAAAACCAGGAACTGTTTTTCAATAATTTTATATTTCTGGTGTATCTGGACAGCCTAACAAGTCTAAAGTCTTTATAGTTTAAAATTGATAGTAGGATTTACTGTTTAATGACAAAATGTAAACATCTGTAAGTGAGATGCTTATGGGTGTAGAGATGAAAGGTGAACAGTCATAGGTGACTCACAGGGCCCCAGATGGAGACACAGTCCTCCAGAGTGTTGCGGAAGTTGTTGGGTTCGTACGGGTGCCAGTGGGTGAAGATGACGGGTGTGTGGTCAGTCCACTGGAAGTCCATCTGCATGTTAGTGTCATGGAGGCCGATCCACAGCTGCTCCACATCTGACAGAGAGAGGGGGGAGAGGGAAGGAGAGGAAAGAGGAGAGAGAGAGGGAGAAAAGAAGGGAAGAGAGGGGTGAGAGAGAAGGGAGGGATGGAGCATTCTGTTATTTATTTGCAGTTAAAATTTTAACTGTATTACAATAACATAATAATAATTCATTAGTCTTATATGGTGATTTTCCAGATGCTTAAAGTTGCTTTATAATGCGGTGCATTATTCATTCACTCCGTACCCCGTGATGGTAAGCTATTATTATAGCCACAGTTGCCAAATGAGGCTGCCTATCTGCGCCATCTGCCCCTCTGACCACCATCAATCACACATTTTCATGCTAGGCAATGTGGGTGAAGTGTCTTGCCTAAACACAGAATGATTTTCCCATCCAAGTACTGACCAGGTCCAGTAGTACTTAGCTTCTGAGATCTGATAAGAACAGGCTTAGACAAGGAGGTTTGGCCATGACGACGTATTGTACATTTAGAATATATATTTTTAGGATAATCCTGCTTTTTGGTTATTGTGTCAGTGGAATAAATTCGTTTGTGTTGAAATGCATGCTTAAGTACTTCCTTTTTAATTTATTTTCCAATTGTTTTTTTTACATTTTTAAAATTTTGTTTCTATGGTGATGATTGTATGCGGAGCTAAATGGGATTAAATATTGTTTAAACGGTCCGATATTACACAAAAAGCTTTATGTCATGTTGAATGAATGTTGTTACCTCATGACAAACAAACCCAGACTTGTGTTCTGGTTTCATTCACACGTTTGGGTAATCCTTTATCATTATGATAAAGGGTGTGATAAAACAATGTGATGTCATGTGGTGATAGTTTCTACCTTTTACTTTTAGTTTAGTGTTAATTCCAGGGCTGAAATAATTCAAACTGTATGTCTTTGTAAACTTGTATGGAGTTTAAAACACAGTGGAGCACTTCCTGTATTATCACATGACATCACAAGGTGGAACAGTGTTTTCTGAATGAGAAGAAGTCATCTTAAATATCCAGGGTTTGTGTGTTTAACACAGGTGAATGAAACAAAACAACTCCAGGTTTGTGATGACGAAACAAACATCAGACAATAGCATAATATAATAGGCCCTTTAAATCCTAAAGGATAATTAAAGCACAAGCATTTAAAAACAAATTGTATATGACGTTGCAATAGTGAATTCTTTTGTTAACTAAGAAAAAGTTCTACACAGTGTATAATTATGCGTTCCTTGTAATTAGAATGAACCACAATAGAATTTGCAGCACTCCTTCATGTTTAAACCTCGGCTTTGATGGTTTAGCTGCTTAAGTTTGCTATAAAACTAAGAGCCTGAATACTTGGCCTGACTAACAACTTTCTCTAATCTTAATGTGAGGGTTTATAATTGGAGCCACAAAGGCACAATAGACTCTTAATGACAGTGTGGGTACAGGCGTCCTGGCAGCGCTGATAAAGACCAAAAAATCAAAGGCAGTCAAGCTAACACACGCTAAAGCTAACGCACGCTAAAGCTAACGTGGTTCAGTGTTCAAATAAACTGCTCAATAATTACAGGCTCGCGGTGCGTTTAAACAACAGCAAGCTCCAACAAGACGCCCAGTATTATAAGGCAACATGAGAGAGAAAAGAAGTGGGAACATGATACGGTCTACTGAACAACACGCATTGTGCTTTTGTCTGTTCTGTAGTTATCATCTATGACACCCGTGGATCATTTTGTTATGATTTGCATCTAAAACGACTCCACTGACTTCCACGTTAGAAAAATGCGATGCCAAAAGGGAGCAGTATCCAAGGAGATGGATTCATCTAATGCCATACTGTGGAACTTTCTAGACAAAGCAATAACATTTCATTGGGGTCAGGCCTATGTTCCCTCAGCCCTATGTTCCCTTATTTCTAAGATTTGTCTCAAAATTAAACTCAAGTCCCTTAAAAAAGTCATGTCATTTTTACCGCATTTAAAGGGAAGATTCAGGATCATTTCAACTTAGGATCCTTTGCTCCACAATAGAGGTCTGCGCGGGACAGAATTTTCAGTCCCGCTCCCGTCCGCTCCCGCACTGTGCAGTCCTGCTCCCTCCAGCTCGCAAATTTTTTTAAATTTTCAGTCCTGCTCCCGCCTGCATCTGCGATATTTTGTCCCGCGCCCGCCCGCAAGTCCCGCAGGATGGGAACCTTTGTTTTCTTAAGCTCTATCCAACACAGAGAAGCAAAAGAAATTGAGCTGCGTATGGGAGGAGGCGCGGAGGGTGGTCCAGCGGGGGGGACTGTCCGCGCGGCGTACGGACGGGGGGGACTGTCCGCGCGGCGTACGGGACGGGGGGGACTGTCCGCGAGACGTACGGGACGGGGGGGACTGTCCGCGCGGCGTACGGGACGTGGGGACTGTCCGCACGGTGCACAAGAGGGGGGACGGTCTGCTGCTTAAAATGTTTTTATTAATGCCAAATAAAATATCCAGCACAAATTATGCATGATGTGCTTACATTCATCATTTATATATTTTACTTTACACTCATATTTTGTTTGCGGGACTGCAGTTTATCATCCCTCCCGCCCTCTCCGGCGTTGTGCAGTGTTGTTTCCGGGCGCTTTCAAAATGTGTCCCGCGCTGCACTGTTTTGCGTCGGGTCCTGCGGGTCAGGGCTCTATACCACGACCTCTATATTACATCTGTAGTCAACTGCTGCTGGATAATAGGTTGACTACCAAATTATGAAAAATGCTGATAAATTCTGAAGCAAACTAATGATAATGGAAATGTGGGAACATAGGGCTTAATTCGGGAAGAAAAAAAAAAGCAAAAAAAAAAACTTAGAAATGAGGGAAGATAGACATGCTCCCATTTCATTTTTGGAGACAAGCATTTGGCAGACCATCCACTAGAAACATTATATAGAGAAATATCTAGAGTGCTTTAGATATGTTTTTTTTTGTTTTTTTTTTAATAATCAGATTTTTCCATTCACTGAACAGATACGATCAGTTCAAATTAACTGTAGTTAAGAAATAAAATATAATAGATATAATGCAATAATGTGTGCACCTTTCTTGACGTTCCTGAGGATGAACTCGAGCTCGGGCAGGGTGTGGATGCTGGCCAGGTTGGCCTCCATCTTCTGACAGTTCTTCTGCGCTGCGTCCCAGTCCGTCTTCTCTGAGTTCAGTTTGTAGCATCCGGCCTGGAAGGACTGCCAGCCCACGTCACAGTCATATCTCTCATCATCCGCCCACGAGTCTGACAAAAGAGATATACAGTAGTAGAAAATAAGAAGATATAGTTAAATTGTTTTTTGTTTTTTTTTCATTCAGGTTTAGTTTTCAATTTATTTTATTCTGTTGAACCTTAATAACCAGAGAAGAACATTTTGAGATCAGAAGCTCTGTTCTACAAGGGGGTCCTGATCCTGGCCAAGAGTTGGTCAATGATAATTGCTAGATAGTAAGCTCCAAAGGTTTGTTGTGTCTGCTGTCAGGAACAGAGTTATATTTTAGGTTAGAAATATTATTATGATTATGTGTAAGGGTTAGGATAATGGTTTTGGTGAGTTGACATGTTCCAAGACTTAACCTACTAAAGTGGGCAAACCAGTGAAGAAAATAATATGTATCTTTAACACTTTATTCTGTATTATAGTGTTCCATATGTCCCTATATTTTGTCTGGTCAACAGCATAACACAATTTAAAAAAAAGTTGGGATGGGGCAATATGTATTTGGTACTGGGTTAGAGGTGCTAGTTGCAGATCATTGTTTTATGTCATAAAAGGCCTATTGAGTTCTGGTCTAAACTCGCTGATACTGGGTTTAGCTCTTGTATTACACACATTTTTATGCTAAAGTTGCATTGTGTAACTTTTCTGGCAGAGGGGCGTCAAATGCCTTTCTCCATAGAGATGTTATTGCTTTGTCTGGAGTGTTTCACAGTGTGCCAAACCAGGTCAAGTTACCGGTCAGATCTGTGGAGAGGCAACGTCAGAATGCCTGTTTTTGTGGGCATTTTTGAGTCGCAAAACCACTTGTAACTGAATAAAAGGTAGAGCTGCTTACAGTCATACTGTGGAACATTCCAGGCATGACAATGACATATCCATAGAAACAAGCAGGTGACTGACACCTATCAGAAAGTTACATAGTGCACCTTTAAGATTCCCCCACTTGTTTAATATTTTTATTTTAATGCATGGATTTGTATCATCTCCAGCACTGACCTGTGGTGAAGGGGTCCAGAGTGGCATTGGGTCTCTTCTTACAGACGTACGGCAGAGCGACGGAGCAGTCCCTGTTCTGCCATCGCCCTGACGACTCGGTGCGGATCGCCACACAGTTCTCCTCGTCTTCATGACTCGGCTGGTCTGAAACAATCACCGAAATAAATGATTCGATTATTGTTATTAGGGATGTACCGATACCAATATTAGTATCAAATATCTGTGCCATTACTGAAAAATATGCTGGTTTGGATATCGGCTTCCAAATATCGGTTCAGCTGATATTCTGGTTGGGCAGATAAATCATATAATACAACTATTTACTGGTTGTAGTCAGCCCAGAAAGTCTCATAATATTTGAATTTGTATTTACATTAAGTAGTTCAGTTACTTGAGAGACAAATGACAGCTGTATAACACATTCGGTTCAGTTTTATCTTATTTTATTTTTGTTTAAAGGAAATAAACAGTTTTCAGTCTCAGCACTGGATAGTATTGACAGATACTTAAAGCTATAATATTGGAACAAAAGGCTGGATCGGTCCATCCCTAATTGTTATTATATTATAGTACACACAAAAAAAGTGATTTGTTGGATAAGGCAATGTTATTAATGTTAAAAAAAAAAAAACTCTAGTATGAAATATTTGGCAAAAATGCTAAATTCATCCCATGCCTTTTGCAACTTTAACTCATTTTGGGTTTATAAACTGTGACGCTCTGACACTGATATACACTGATAGTAAAATAACAGTGAAGTGATTTAATTACAGAAAGCAGGCAAGAGGAACTTACAGTTGTTAATGTCTTGCCTGGCCTGCCAAAACCACACGCTTTGACAAGACTCTACTGCATTCAAACTAAATATAGGCGACACTGGCCGGTCATTCAAGTAAAGAGCTCAAAAGTTACACACTGACCAAATTAGAAAAACTTGTTATGGTTAAAATCCAATAAATCAATTTAAGTTTAACCTCTCATATGTGTAACTGTAACACTGTAAGAGCATATATGGATCTAAGTTTGTAATAGTTTAAAGTTATTATATTACGCAAAAATGATTTGTGAGCTTGTTAGAATATTATTACTTCCTCAAAAACATGCCTGGAGTTGTTTGTTTCATTCGTACATGTTTGAGTAACCTTTTATATTAGTCTATCTACATCTCCAAAGCTTAAAATCTCTCTCTATCTTTGTTCAATCTTGTGATGTCATGACGTGGTAGTTTTCAAGTTAACAACTACATTTTATCTTTAGTTCAACAGAGATTGGCTATTCCAGGGCAGAAATTATCCAAATGATTCTAATCTTGGCCTTAATATGCAGGGTTTGTGTGTTAAACATGTGAATGAAACAAAACACAACTCCAGGTACACAGCAAAAACTGGAGGGTTAAAATTTCAGGGTAAAATATTTTAGAGTTTGTTTGTTTTTTTTTTACAGAAAAAGTGTTATTTTAACTATCTGAAAGTTAAATGAGGGTTCAAGTTGGGGTTATTTCGTTGATATGTTGATATGGTTGAAGTTCTTTCAACTCCCCTTAGTGTTAATTTGGTACCTCCAACCCACCACTTTAGACTCCCCCGAGAGAAGACCAGTTTGAACCAGTTTTGTACATAATTTCATCTTAAACTAACTAAAATAAAGGTTAAAAATAAAATACTTCTGTGTGTTGTTTAGCTAAATCAAGATAACCCTTCAAAGTGTTATCTGTGTACTCTCAAAATGTTAATATATGAACTCTTGATTTCAGGGTTAAACACGAACTTTGGTCCTGTGTTACTTAAAGGTTGTGTAGAGGATTTTCCAAGGAACGAGAAATCCAGCGACTGTTTGTCCTTTTTCAAATGTTGCGCATGCGTGAAACCACCCCCCCTCCCCTACAGCTCCCTACGTAGAAAGCCTCCTCCCTCCTCCTTACGCCAGAAACAGGTTTGTTTACAGCCGGTGCGCTGCACATGACTTGTAAACAACTAACTACTACAGTGTTGGTTAGGCAAGGTGGAGAAGTGAGGATCGGGTGGAGGGGGGCGCGGACATTTCGTGCGCGGACGAGAAGTGAGGAAGCAGGGAGAAGAGCGGAGCAGGGAGCAGGGAGAGAGGAGAGGAGAGAGGAGGAGGAGAGGGGAGAGAGGAGAGGGGAGCGGTGTGCGGAGATTCCGTGCCCGGAGAAGTGAGGAGCAGGGGGAAGAGCGGATCGGGCAGCGGGGAGAGGAGCAGGAAAGGGGTGCAGAGAAGGATTGCGCGGAGATTCCGTGCGAATGAACTAGCTACAACACGCAGCAGCAAGCGGACTCTTTCTTTGCCTTGAAAATTACGTTTTCAGACATAGGATATCGCTTTCGTGTCCTGAAAAACGTTTGTCTAACTCTTGGAAATAAAGTACGTTTTCATAATAAGCAGAAGTGACCTGTCCAGGAGTAATTTGGCGAATGAATGAATCTACAAGAATCACCTTAGTTTGGCTTCGCTGCTTTTCCCCTTGTCTTCTTCTTTCAGCGACCTCAAAAACGGACTTTCTTTTGCGGCTAACTGCTCCTGGATTCTTGTCGCCATTGCAACAAACTTTGTGCTAACTGCGAGGAAGATATAGGTCAAAAAAAGCCGCTAAGAACTGTTGCGTTGGTGGAGTAAACAGCGTCTGTGCGGCTTGCGTCTGTGGACTGCGTGACAGGCGTACGTAAACCACGTACCGGCGGCGCGCAGGCAAGTCAGTTACGCTAGAAACGTAGGGAGTTTGATTGACAGCCTGTCAGCTAACAGATAACGAGGCAGTGTCGTTATCTATTGGCAAATGTTTAGCCCCACCACGTCCAGAGTTGATGAATTTTTATTCTCTTTTTTTTGGTCATCATAATTACAAGGCTACTGCACCTTTATAATGCTATCATTGACAACTTGAAACAAAAAAAATCCTCCATACAACCTTTAATTAACATTTCCAAAACTGTTAAATTACCTCTAGAACAAATTGGACTCATATAAACCCTGGGAAAATGTTAAAATTGTATTCTGTGAGAGTCAATTTTTACACTCCACTTTTTGCTGTGTATGTTTGTGATGAGGAAACATTATAAGTTTATAGTTTGGAAAATAGTCTTAAACACTGGAAAGTTTTTAAGACTGTGCGGCATATCCTGATCACATAAACTGTATTTAAAGAGAAAGAGAGGTTTATTTTGTGTTTCTACAGTTTCCGGACCTTGTTCCCAGTTCAGATATTTGAGTGGAGATGAGTCGGCCCACTGCCAGCCTCCGCTCACATCCAGGTCATTCAGCCCGATCCACAGGGCAGCGCTGTAGCCTGTCAGTAAACCTGCAACACAATACATGGATTTAATCATGATTTCAGCATAGTTTTATCTGATATTTTGTCTTTCACAGATTTTCCACTTTCCTGTGTGTTTAATTGTTGCCATTTACAAGAATTGCCAAATGAAGTGACTGGTGTGAGTCCATGGATAAGCCAAAACATAAACATCTATAAAGCTTATTTGAGTTTTATTTGAGTATAGCAAGTAACCATTCCAAATAAACTATTAAATCTTTTGTACTGTTTAGATCTTCTTTCTTCTTAATTCTTGGTTGCACTGGTTACTTTTTTGGTTGGGGGTCCATCACCTGCTTGTTTCTATGGATATGTGGGTGGTTTTATAGCTCGAAAATATTTAAGAAAAAAACTGGTCTTGGTTTGGTCTCCATGAACATAGAAAGGTTTAATATTATACTGTGAAACTTTCCAGACAAAGCAATAACATTTCCATAGAGAAAAGCAGATGATCGACCTTCTACCAAAAAAGTTACACAATGCACCTTTACTCGTGAGTGAAAAAGGTGTTTCCTGTTTGAAAGTGCAGTGTAGAGCTTCTGTTAAACCCAGGCCTTCTCTCCTGACCACAGCTCTGAACATGAAGGGAGATCTGAGAGAAAAAGGATCAATGATTTCTCTTTGGTGCATCAATGACACAGCAGCAGCACAGAGTCTGGCTCAGGGCACTGGAAATTCGCTGGGAAAATCGTTCAGTGTGTGAACTTTAATAGATACTGTATAATGCAAAGTCTATTTTTATTCTGTTACACCTTATTATATGCATGTCTTTTATTTTATCATAGTTTATGTTTTACTATTATTATTTTTCATTGTGAGCCAAAAAATATAAATTACAGACATGGGTAATTTTTAACTGTTGGCCAGCAGGGGCGCAAAAAAAAAAACATTAAAGGTGCACTATGTAATTTTTCTGGTGGAGGATTTGTTTGCCTGGGTGAGTTAGGTTAGGTTAGGGGTAAGTTAGGGGTTAGGCTTAGGGTAAGGGCTGGGATAGGGCAACAGTTAGGGTTGGGGCTAGGGTTAGGGTTAAGGTTAAGGTTGGGGTTACAGTTAAGCAATTTGCACAAACTTTGCCTGATTTTACTCAAAATTACCCTGAACAGATTGTTGTAGGTTACGTTTAGGGTTAGGCCTAGCGTAAGGGTTGAGGCTAGGGGTTAGAATCATGCTTAGAGTTTACGGTTGTTAGGGTTAGTGTTTGCGAGGTGTAGCATTTGCGGGGCGAGGCGTGTGCGATGGGCGAGGGCCATTCGACACCGCTTGCAGCTTTAATTCTAGTTCATTGTTACTTTCGCTCCATATCACCGCAAAACATCCACATTTTATTTGATGTATTTGTTTATTATTTTTTGCAATAAAATGTTTTCTGATTCGGATGTAATAAAACAATATGAACAAAATCACTATATATATATCAGGTATAACTTGTTCACTGTATTTCTGTGATTCCCGTGAAATGTGTAAGTTTTCTGGAGGGGGGTATGCTGCCTGCTTGTCTCCAGGGAGATGCTATTGCTTTGCCTGGAATGTTCCACTGTATGGCATTGAACTTAAATGTCTTATTATATTTTTAGTGAACTTAAACTTGGCCTGGTGAGGACACCTGTTTGTCTCTATGGAGAACAAAGATACATTTAATGCCATACTCTGGAACATTCTAGGCAAAATAATAGCATCGCCACTAAGACATGCAAGTGGCAAACACACCATCAGAAAAGTTATACAGTGCACCTTTAAATGTGTTTTCTTTGAGAATGAAGAACAAAAAGTTGAATGGCTAGAGAGTTGCATATAATTTGCATTAAATGTGGGCAGTGTGTAAATCTGATTGAAAAGACCTGATGGACGAAAGAATTAATATAGCACACATAAAATGATTTAATAACTGTTGCCATGACAAAATTGGGTCGTTATACCTGCCAGTTACAGTGAGGACCCTTGTGTGAGGCTATAAAATATCATGATAATACAGTTTTACTATCAGAACACCATAACAAATCATCAAAATAATGACTTCTTCTTCTGTGTGAGTAGTGACTGTACCGTTGATGTAGGTTTGCTCGTGCAGTTTGGTGATGCTCAGGAGGTCTGCCCCCTGCTGGCGACAGCTGGTGCGCGCCTCGCTCCAGGACAGAGTGGACTGGAAGTTAAACTGGTAGCAACTGTCGGTGAGAGGGTCTGTGTCCCAGAACGTCTCACAACCTTTACCTGAGAAAGACGAGAGAGAACGAAGAGGAGAGCGAAACAGAGAGGAGCGTGGAGGTGAGTAAAGAGGAAAAGAAAGAGGAGAGGGAGAGAGAAAGTGAAAGGCAGGAGAAAGTGTGTGTGAGGAATGGAGAAAAAATAGACAGTGGCGACAGAGACAGTAGAGGAAAAGAGGAGAGAAAGATAGAGAGAGAGGGGGGGAAGACAAAGAAAAAAAATGGAGAAGGCAAGAGTCAAAAACATTTGAAGAGAACGAAAGAAAGTGAAGGAGAGAGAGGGAAGAGAGGAAGATGGAGAGTGTAAGGGATGGAGACACAAGAGAGGAGAGGGAAAGAGGGAAAATAGAGAACAGAGAGGACAGATAAGAGTTATAAAGAAAGAAAGTGAAAGAGATAGAGAGGGGAGGGAGAGAATGAGAGAACAAAAATGGACAGAGTTGTTTAGTGATGTTGCTCCAGTAGTAGTAGTAGTAATAGTAGTAAACAAGTAATTTCAACAATGAGCTTTTTATAAGTTTGAGTTCCAGCTTCAACTCTTCACTTCAAATCACACTGTACTGTCCCATCCAATAAAAACAACAGAATGTAAAACTCGATAAAGATGAATAATGATGAGACTGACTGTTGACAGGGCAGAATCCCCAGCGCTCGTCTTTGCCGTAGTCGTAGGTTGTGGCGCACCAAATATGTCCGTCCTCTCGCCCGATGCTGGTGCAGCTGTGGAACCACTGTCCGTCGTACAGGAAGGGGAAGAAACAGGGCCTGCCGTGAGAGTTACCCTGGATCGTGTAGATGTCTGAGGGAGACAAGGAGCAGGTATTTTACACTTATCAGAGTAGAGTTGGAGATATTTTTTCTGAGAAGTATTATGATTGAGATAAGATTTGCAATGCAGGTTTGTTTACGCAAAATAACCTCTTGTGAACTTTAAGTTATGTTATAATAATGTTACCTCATTAAAAACATACCTGGAGTTGTGTTTTGTTTCATTCACGTTTGAGTACCCCTTTATTATAAGACATCTCCAAAACTAAAAATGCTCTCTAAAGGGACAGTTTGGAATTTTGGACATAGAGCCTCATTTCCTAGTGAGCCAGAGTGTTGGAAACGTGTGGAGACACTTTTTAAAATATTCCATCCAGTCCTTGTATTTGCAGAGGTCACTGGTGCTAGGCTAGTGCATGTCAATGGCCATAGTTAGCCTGCTACTAAAAACAGTCTTACCCACTCCACAAAACACCCGAGGCAAATCTATTATCACGCCAGACTGTCAGTGTAAATGTCTGTGTTGATAGAATAATGTTTGAAATAAAAGTAACCTTGCACTGCATGAATCGTCGCATCTTGAGGGACTATTTTCTCATATATCAGTCTACCACTGCCAAGCTTTCTATCAGGAAGTACAACTCACTGCTGCTCAGACATAAATCATTCAAATGCAAGGTTGGTTTTACTTCTAAAATTATTTTATTGACACAGACATTCACATGGACAGTCTGGTGTAATAATTTGGAGATTTGCTTTGGGTGTTTTGTGGAGTGGGTAAGACTGTTTTTAGTGACTATCTAAGGCTAACTATGGCCATTGACATGCACTAGCCTAGCACCAGTGACCTCTGCAAATACAAGGACTGGATGGAATATTTTAAAAAGTGTCTCCACACGTCTCCAACACTCTGGCTCACTAGGAAATGAGGCCATATGTCCAAAATTCCAAACTGTCCCTTTAGAGAGCATTTTTAGCTTTGGAGATGTCTTATAATAAAGGGGTACTCAAACGTGAATGAAACAAAACACAACTCCAGGTATGTTTTTGATGAGGTAACATTATTATAACATAGCTTAAAGTTCACAAGAGTTTATTTTGCATAAACAAACCTTTGGCTCACTAGGAAATGAGGCCCTATGTCCAAAATTCCAAACTGTCCCTTTAAACTCAGTTAATTTGCATAATACAGGACCTTTAAGCTGCTTATACAATATATCTGTACTGGGTACATTTTACTTAACATTACTTGAAAAGCATTTGGGTACTGCCCATTTACAGAACACCCGTAACAGTTAATAATGCGAATATGCCAGATGAAAGTGAAGGTGTTTTTGTTTGTTTTTTTCCATCTGTTCTCCCAAAGCATGCATAAAGGATTTAAGTTCTCTTGAGCCAATATAAATACATCTGCTTATGTGTGTTTGGTTGTGTTTGGTAGCTAGCCACCAGTAACCTTTAACTGTTCTATTTTCCCTATTTTCCTGTTTCCTTTCCCATGTTAGAAGTCATACACACATGCCTATTAATGTTGTCACAATACGTTATTCCAAACTAAATTTTGATACTAAGAAACAGACTCGATGCTAAAAGTCACAGTGATTATTCAAATACCCTTTCTTTGGAAAATAGAATCTGATTTCGACATTAAATCGTAGTATTTTCTTTTATGTTACCATGTGGTCTTGTATGTGTGTAATCACTCAGTCGTCCAGGTAGGTGCTCTTATACTTGTTCTACAGCCCAAAATCATTCTAAATCTATTCAGAAAAGGTTAATTTCCATCCTGTGAATGTGACTTTTTCTTGTACTGATACTTGCTCAAATGATTATCTAGTTTTGATACTAGTTTTAGGATTGATTATTATTTGATTTTCAATACTTTTGACAACCCTAAAGTCTGTAACTGCACCAACTCAACAAAAAGCAGATGTTACTCCAAACTCCTCCTCAAGTCATAATTTTGCCACACTGGCCTTTCTTTTTACTTTTATGGCTACTACTGAAACTCTCACAAGTATGTAACATCACTGCCAACTAAATCTGGTTTGAATCTGAGCTGTGAAGAATGGACTGGAAATTGTATTTGCTTTGTTAGTGACTTGCAAAATCAAACATAGAATAAAAACAGAGGATAACGTTACACTTTAAAGGTTAAAGGGTCAACAGGAGCCGGAGAAAAACATGAACATGGGCCAACTCAATGTACTTGTTGTTTTCTAGTCTATTTAACAGCTACCTGGCTGGGGATTTTTGTTCTGAACTGAAAATGACGTAATTTAAATGAAGATAAGACCTAGAGCAGCAGGGGCAGGATAAAACATGACAATGATCCAACTGTCTTTTAAGAACTTGGCAGTGAATAGATGGGAAAATGTGTTTTATTGACCAATGACTGTTTCATTTGTTTGATTTTCTAACTTTCCATTGGTTGTTGCATCAACAGTTTTCTGAAGCCCTGTGGAGCGACTGCTGTTGTCATTTTTAGGCTTTACAAAAATAAATGAAAATGTGCTGTACAAAAGAAATCAAAACTAGTTGATTTTAAACAGTTTGCGGTGTTTCAGAGTTATTTCTCCCTGACCTTATGCACTCGGAATTTCTAATTATTCCCAATTATTCACAGTAATTAGTAGGGTTGGGTGGAAACACGGTATTACCGTATCCCACAGTATCAAAAAATAGCAACGGTATCAGTTTCATTACAGTCATTAAAAAATCTGCAGCGCATAAGGACCTTATATAATATTATATTTTATTGATACCTAAATCTGTTTGCTTAGCACAAATGAATGTGTGGTTGTATTTTAAATGTAATGCTATCACAATTTAAAACTAATAGTGTCTATAATGTTTCTTTTAACTGCGTGGGGAGATGACGTTCGATTAGTTTTGTTCCGTTGTCACGTGATGCTCATAAGGGAGACTAAGACAAGATGGCAAGTCCGGCCGCAAGTGAGTGGGTCCCAAAAAAATATCTTCTGCAATTTGGCAGCATTCTGGCTTCAGGCTTACATTTGTTTACGTTTTACAGAAACAAAACTTAAAACCACATGGTTCATTTGCATAAACTTTAAAGTGTTGATAAAAACAGCTCTTTCTTTGTGCTCTGATGCGGTTCAGCTTCTATCGGACTAAAGGACACAGTGACTCAGTGGAATATGAGTGTTCTCTCTGTGACAGAGGATGTGTGGCTGATGGTGAGTCTGTTCTGTGCGTGTATCGCGCAGGACATGGTTCATCTCATTTCAGAGATTATAAGTCTGTAGGTCGTACGTATAGACTGTATAGCAGTGTGGCTTCTTTGCGTACCAAAGTCGTACTAAAACATTTTGGTAATATGGGAATACTGTATACCCTGGTAAAATCCTGAGAAGTGTTAACAGCATAAAAATTTAGATACCGCCCAACCCTAGTGATTAGTGCTTTTCACTACTCTCAGGGACTCTTTACTAATTAGAGTCAGACAGTACACATGCATATTCTGATCTCTGCTTATCCAATTTATATGACACATTTAGCGCATTTATATGGACTAAAATCAGGGACAGGACCTTTAATGTTATGGAAATGAAAAGAAAACCTGTTCCAATGTATGTGTTAAGTTGTTTTCTTGCTTTCTTCATTTGCTGATCTTGAATAAAATATCACTTTTTAAAGATTGTCATTATTTTCCGGCAGCTTGGACGGGTCAGATGAGCTCATAGTAGCGAGCTTTCACAACACTGCAGCAGTTTACATTAGAGTCCAGAGAGAGTCCGGAGGGAGAGAAGAAAAGGGCAGAGAGACAGAAGCACCTCTTTCTCCAAAAACACGTCAGGTCGGTGGAAAGTAGGGCAGACATGTTGAACACAGCTCCCTCCCTCGCACAGCCCAGTGTGGCTTTAAGCTGAGTAATGGAGCAGGCATGACGACGGGAGCGGACAGGGGCGGACAGATGAGACGGAGGTGGACAGGAGCAGACAGGGACAGTCGGGGAGACAAAGGAAATAAAGGTAAAAACAGAGGAGCAGAGAGGAGCAGATAGAGGAGCAGACAAGGGCAGACATTAGCAGGTAGAAGCAAACAAAGGAGCAGGCAGGAGCAGGCAGGGGCATAGACAGGGTCAGACGGGGGCAGACAGGAGCAAAGAGGTGTAGCGAGAGAATCAGGCAGGAGCAGACAACAGAGCAGACAGAGACGTAGACGGTGTTGTCACAATAATTTCACTTAACCGAGAGGAGACAGGAGCAGAAAGGGGCAGAATGGAGAAGAAAAAGGAGATAAAAGAAAAGAGGAGCAGGAGGAGGAAGGAAAAGGAAAGGAAAAGATAGAAGCTGCACACACTGGAGTAGACGAGAGCAGACAGAGGAGCAAACAGGGAAAAAGAGCAATGAGATAAAGAAAAAGACAAGAGAAAAGAGAGGAGGAGAGACACGAGATAGAGGCTACAATATGACTGTTTCTTGAGAAGGTTAAAGAGCAAAGGAAAAGCCTGGGGTTTTTCAGTCTGGAGCTGGCATGTTCTCTCCTTGGTGGGTTTCCTCTGGGCCCTCTGGTTTCCCCTATCAACATAAAACATGCACTAAAATAATCCTCCAGCTAGACCTGACCAAACCTATAGCTCCAGACGGGTTGAGTTTTGTTTCATTCACACATGTGCAACACACAAGCCCTGCATATTTAAGTTGAGTTCTTCTCTTAAACAGAAAACACTCTGTTCAACCTTGATGTGGTAATACAGGAGGTGCTTCACTGTTTTAAACTCCATACACCTTCACTAGAATCATTTAGATAATTTCAGCCACTTTTAACTGAAAAAAGGTAAAAACTACCATTACATGACATCACAAGGTGGAACAGAGCATTTTGAACTTTAGAGATGTAGACAGACTAATAATAAAGGATTACTCAAACATGTGTGAATGAAACAAACACATGTCATGTATGTTTTTGAGGAGGTAGCAACATTCTGAGATGACTAGACTAGACCATCTTTAAAATAGGTCTACACCAGTGGTACAATAGTACTAACAAATATAAAACCAGAAGGGAGACAACAATGTGGACAAAACTGACTCTAAATAAACCCAACATAAACACTCCAGGGGAATTGTTGTACCACCAGTGGAACACATAATGATTTGATAACTACTGGTCTAAGGGGTCAGATCTCAATGTTTGCAGTGACTTAACCTGGACTATACTAAGGCTATGTCTCCACATAGCCGGGCATGTTATGAAACAAATATTTCCCTCCCTCCGTTTTCCAAAATAACATTGTGCACATAGCAGCATTTTTAAAAAAGTTTTCATTTACATCAAGCCGCATAAATACACCATCGAGCGCCATCATAACTACGCCAAGACTTGAAAAATGTGCATTACTGAGCAGTGTCGCCTCGCCAAAGATCTGTTAAAGAAGTGGCAAAATCACTGACCTCCGAGCCTCATTTGTCTCTGATCATCGATATGATACATCAGCTGTGTGTGCAAATGCAAACACATGAAAAGTGTTTGCACCAGAAGAAATGTAACTGCTGCTCTGAATACTTCCATCATCATCATCATAGGAAAAGGTAAACATTGGTTTCACTTTCGGCGTGTCAGCTCCTAAAACTCAGTTTTTCTCACATTATATGCAAACGCAAAACCGTTTTCCAGAATCTCCACTCTAGCCGAAGTTTTAAGAAAGATTCAAATTCGCAGTTTGCGTGTAAAAGATGGGTACTAAGAATTACATACAGTCAGCCTCATAGCATTATTGCCTAAATAATTTTTCAAGGATTTCAGGCAAATTCAAAGCTAAACTGGGCTGATTTGTAGTTTTAGGTTTTAAAAACCTTTTGATTGGCCAAGAACAGAGCCAATAACACCTACACATGCAACAGGCTCTAAAAAGGAGAATGAGACAAAAAAAAAAAAAATGTATTAAATCTGAAAAAACCCTAACCCTAAAACATATGTAAATTTGGTTTTAATCAGAATCAATTCACAACAAAGTGGGTCTAAATTAGGAATAATCCAGGACTAAACCAGGACTAAGACAGAACTAAAATGAACAGGATCTAGCAGAATTTTAAACAAGAAATCTGTGTTTGCCTCAGACTTTTGGCCTATTCACTTATTTGTCGTCTGTCTATGAAGAGGTGTGACATGACATTACTGATGTGAATGGAAGAAGAAGTGCGTAACCCAAAGCCGCACTGGTCTGATTCACACAGGACCTAATAGACAGCCCAATATAAACACACTGGAGGGCACCAACAACAGCCCCAGTTTACAAACAGTGCCAGTGTTTTACTTGGCCCCGGCTTTGGCCCCAAGCCACAACTCCACAAAGAAACGTTTAGCCTTGACTCTGATAAGATCCAGCTGTGGTCCAAGAGAGAAACCACCAGCACAGGGCACACAGACATGGGAGGTACAGTCACACAAGGGACGTCTATATCTGCATTTCTGACTGATTGAAGAAGGCACAGTTGTTACGCTGTGTTTGATATGAGCTTCAACCTAAATTAACCTTACCTCACCAGCCAGAACCACACGCTTTGACAAAACTTTACAAAGTCGGGTGAATCTGGATTTGATCTGATTTCAGAGGGCGTGATTGACAGGCGGATTAAATAATCAGAGAGATGCGTGGTCCATTCACGTCAAAATGGGGAAAAAAACAACCTAAAAGACTGAGAAACTACGCAGATTTTTTCCAGAATCAACATTTGAAGCACCAAATGATTACATATTTCAGGTAAAAGAAGTTTGTTCTGAATGTTACGTTGTTGTCTCAAGTTTGGACAGAGGTTTTTCACGGTTTAGTCTGGTTCCAGAATAGAATGTAGAAGGGACTGTCTTGTCAAGCAGTGATTAACCATTAATTTGCTTGGGAAAAGGATCACGGGGAAACTCATATTCAATTAAATACTGTAGAACGTAAGCTTAAGAAGGTAGACTCAGGTCCAAATTGACTGAGGGTGCATCGAAGTTTCAAAAAAGTGCAAATACAATACTCTCTGATTAAGTTTCATTACTTTACACTCGTAAAATGAAGGTGGAAACACTTAACTGCAGAACCAGGTCTGACATATTATACTTTTTTCAAGTATCTCATTATAATCTATTTCACTTTTCTATTTTCTTTGTTTTAAATCACTTTAATCTAAAACGGAAAACAGCTAAATAACAGAACTGGTCCAATTGATTTCTTGTTCAAAGCTGTAGATCTGATTTCCAAACTACCGCAAAATGTCACAACAAAACACAAGGCTGAAGGACCACGCTGACAGACCCGTGCCTATGGACAGCTGCAGTTCGGGGTAGGGAACAGTGGATTTTTTACATTTGGGCCAAAACAGCAACGTGAACCCTACATGTATCACTGTTTTGGAAAAAGAAAAAAGGGAGTGAACTAAGTACAAAGCAGACCCTGTGTTCTTTAAGCATAAATCAGCTTTAAAGAGTCTTAGTATCAAAGGCATTGCAGAAATAATAAACAGTGAAGATATTTTACAAAGCACTGGACGGGTCAAACTAACCAATATCTTTCACTGTAAACAAACCCAAACTGACCTTGGTTCATTTTGGCGCAGAGGTCCTGGCTGTCTCCGTACAGTCTCCAGTAGAGGCCGTTGGACACAGTGGAGCTGTTCCATAACGAGGGTATGGGCAGGTAGTTGTTCAGATTATCCAGCATCTGAGCACAGCCCCAGGTCCAGCGCACCCTTGGGGGCTCTCGGTCACACGTGTACACCCCCAGAGGAGAGGTGTCTGAGCGGCTGTAGTTCCCCGTGGTCACCCCCAGGCAGAGCGACGAGCCCAGGTTAAAGAGGCGGTTTCGGGACACCCACTTCCAGTGCTTCTCCTCGCCCTCGCAGCCCGGGGACAGGACCAGGGCGTGGTCCTGCACCCCCAGACAGCCCTGGCTGGCCTCATGGAAGAACGCAAACACATCCGAGTCCAGCGGTGCTGCAGGGAGAAAGGAGAGTTAGAGTTAAAATTATAATGTGAAAAGTCATTATTTCATACACTGAAACTTTGCAGCCTTTCCTGGGGGTGAGACGCTAACTGAAGGCTCTGCTCTGTCTGAAGCTCTGTTATTCAAGTGAGACTTTAACCTGAGCTTTGTTTTAAAACAATCTGACCAGAAAGAACCAACTTCAACTACAACAGGTGAGCTAATGTTGTACTGTCAAACAAGTTCCTCTCATATTACATTAAAGTTAAAAGTTAGGTATCATTAGCCAACATTTTTTTCCGTTGGTCACCCTCATCTTTTTTGTTGAAAATCAAACACCTAAACAGGACCCTGAACCATTGTATTGATCACAGACTATCAGCAGACAGCTCTAAAACATGACATATTGACATAAAAATACTAAATCTACATTTGTGTACAATTGTGCTATAATTGTGATCTATCCTCCAAAAAAAAAATATTTAGCTCTTCCCAGATTTGAATTCATTACATATCACTTGTGAAAGACATGCATGACTTATATGCTCTTCCAATAATTTGAATACTGGCTTGAGCGTCACCCTGGCTTGAAAGTTCTAGTTCGAGCATCCCATTCTCTCGGCGGGAACGTTCTCGCAGGCCATTAGTCAGCTGTGTAATTCACTGTAATGTACTGAGTTAGAAAATCAGCATTCTGTATCATAATAAAATTAAATGTGAATGTAGCCAGACCAAATTTCGGGCCTTGTTTATGTCATTTTACCGATATTCCTGAAGCTGCACACTTTTTTTCAGTATGTAATATCAATATAATCCTTATTTGCTCATAAAAGTTTACTACAAAATCATATCTTAAATGATTTTTTCTTGTTACCCATTTCCCCATGTCCTATAGCATCTGTAACTGTTGATTTGGGAAGAAATATGAATTATTTCCTAACCTGCTTGTCATGAATGTAATCAACTCATGTCAGATGTCATGTCATGCAACAGAGGATAAAAGCAGGGTGTTCATCCTTCAAGTTGAGACATACTGTAACTTGTGTGTGTAATTAATACAATATATGTTTAATAATGTTTTTTTTTTTTTTAATATGTATATAGTAGAGGTGTAACAATATCAAAGTCTCACGATACGATATCGTCACGGTATGAAACTCATGGTACGATATTTACTGCGATATTGTGGGAAAGTTCACGATATGGAGGGGAGGCTCACGATTAGGAATGTAACAATATCCAAATCTCTCTGTACGGTATTTTCACGCTATACATCTCACACTATGATATTTATTGCGATATTTTGTGGAGGCTCCTCTTAAAATGCCTTGATAAGACTTAATCCAAAGAACTAAGACTTAAAAGTGCTTAGAACTGTTAGTTCTTCATGTAGTCTACACTGAAACAGAGCAAAGGATCATGGTCTATGTAGTTCCCTCTGTCTTTTTTTTTTAGCTATTGCTGCACCATAACTCTTAATTTAAGCAAAGAGACTTGTAATTTGATATTTTGTGATGGTCCGTGATATTATTGTGAGAACTTTGACGTTACCATATCACAATATTTTGGTTATTGTTACATCCCTAGTATATAGATTAGTTAACTTAGTTTCATAAAGGGTACAATTCAGGGGGACCTTCCAGCCAGGGGGACTTTTCAGCTGATTTCCAATAATTCATTTTTAAAACTTTGATTTATTTGTTAATCATTTTATTTACCTATACTGTCCATGTTGGATCATTTTGTACAAAGGAACTGTAGTTTCTCATTTACAATCAATTATAAAGCTAATACTAACCCTGGACGAAATCAGGTCTAAATTACAAATAACCCAGGAGAAAACTATCACTTTTAATTTAGTTTCATTTACACAGGAGGAGAATGAGTCCCAAATGCACTGTAAGGCCAAATGAACTATCACTCCACTAATAGTGCTGAAGAAGAGTGACAATGGACAGATAATGGCGAAGGCACAAAAGCAGTAAAAGCGGGAGTCTAATCAAAAACACCATCAACTGACCAGCTTCCCTCACCGCTGCCTTTCATTTTACAGTCCGTGTCCTGTCATTAAGTAATAAAGCGTCTGCTGATCAACACTAGGCGGCGCTCTCAGTGGGCCTGTACATGTCATAACACTGTAAACACGGTCACACATGTTTGCTCTTTGATGCTCAGTTTGGTGTTTTCTCTCTTAGCACCGACCTCAGGAATTCTGCACGTCTGACCTGGAATTGCCTCATTCACTTTTGGTTGAGTTTGTTCTGGAAAAGGCAGGAGATCCAGGAGAAAAACTTTTATGAAAGATCTGAAAAGCTAAAGAATTTTTAAAGGGCCCTTATTACGCCATCAAAAACATCCCCGGAGTTGTGTTTTGTTTCATTCACACATGTTTAACACGCTGCTTCATGACATCATAAGGTGGAACTGAGCATTTTGAGCTTTGGAGACTAGGGATGGGCATGATTAATCGATTAATCGATAATTGATCATTAAGAATTTCATCGATTATGTTAATTTTAATCGACAAACCGAATGTAGGTTGCTGTGTGTAGCGTGACCAAACAGGGGTCCGTACATGTGTCTCTCTGCATCAGAAGGAGCGAGACACAAACAGTGGGTCAGTCTGCAGCGTACCGAAGCACAAATGCGTATTTAACGATGATTTGTACAAGAAATTCCACGCTTTCCGTTGCGTTCGGGACAAGTGTGAGTCCATGTGCACAGTGTACAAAGCAAGAACATATGTTTCGGTGTCCAGTGGGAAAAAGCTTTACCAGGTGAGAGTCGCAACCTCCCACCCCCCGTACGGTGTCCTGGTTTTGACAAACACAAATCTGGTCACACTAACCTGTATTTCACTGAGTCATGTCTTTTAATCTAACAGAAACTGACCGCATCAGCGACACAAGAGCTGTAGTTTTATTTTCGCTGAGTTTCTGCAAATTAGCGATGCGGTTTTAAGTTTCGTTTCTGTGAGATTTGCGCTAAACTGAATTAAACACATTATAATCTAAAATGGATTGATGTGGCTCTTGAGTCGTTACGGTTTATATGTCGTAAAGTTGAATTTATTTATGCAGATTAGTAGTGCAGATAGTAATAATAATGATGATAATTTTAATATAAAAACGTTAATGATTAATCGATAATCGATCGTTAATTCTTCCGACGATCGATTAAGAAAATTTCATCGAATGCCCATCCCTATTGGAGACCTAAACAGACTAATAATACATGATTATTCAAACATGTGTGAATGAAACAAAACACAACTCCAGGTACGTTTTTGATGAGGCAACAATATTCTACCATTGTTTAAAGCTCAAAGAGTCAATTTTGCGTAATATAGGACCTTTAAAGTACACAGTCCTAGTACGACCAGTGTGTCTGAGCTACAGTTTTACTTCTCCTTATATTTACCCCCAAAAACTGTAGGTAGAAATGCAAATCTGTATCCTTTTTGAATAACTTTGAATAAATCACTGCCAAAAGCTTTTTTATTTCTACTGCAAATGGTAAAAAAATAACATAAACAGACTAATTTGTTTTTGTGGGGTCTCAATCAGCATTAGTAGTATTATTATCGATAATGGCATGGTTGTAGTAGGAGCAATAAAATTAGTAGTAGAAGTAACTATTTATTCTGTATTTTTACTTTAAAGGTCTTACAATACTCTATTTTTCCGATCTACGTTATGTTTCCTCATCACAAACAGACCTGCAGTTGTGTTTTGTTTCATTCATACATGTTTAACACCTACATATTTTGGCTTTACATACAATACAGGAAATGCTCCACTGTGTTTTTAAACTCCATACACTAGGGATCTCCAACCTGTAGCTCGGGAGCTACCAGTGGCTCTCCACCCCGTTCCAAGTAGCTCCCCAATAGATATAGGAGTTAAACATGTTATACTGAATAATTTAAATCTGATCAATCACATGTTTGTTATCATAAACAATAGGGCTGGGCATCATTAAGAAGTTGCTGATACAATACATCGATCATCAAATCGATTCAATACGGTTCAATAAAAAATCATGTCTGTGATATTAAAAGTCTTTGTTAAACCACTTCTTGTGCAAAGTGAAGATGAAACACAAACATTTTAATCATCAAAACAGTGAAAATGTCAAATGTGTCACGTAAATGCATTTCCTCCCACTAAACAAACAACAAAACTGTAGCTCTGTGACAAAATAATTTAGTAAAATATCCCACAAAATACTCTTGCCCACGATATCGATACTGTATCATCACATTAAACAATACGATATATCGATATTTCAATATTTTTGCAGACCACTAATAAACAATGTCTAATATTGTGCACTGTTATATTGTTTTAAGGTTTATGTTTATAAGCGTCTAAATATCTAAAGGTAGTTATATCGGCTCAATTTCGTGCACCTTCACTAGAACCATTTGGATAATTGTCCATTACCAATCTCTACTGAACAAAGGGTAAAAGGTAGTTGTTAACTTGAAAACTACCACAACATGACATCACAAGGTGAAACAGAGCATTCTGAGCTTTGACGTAGACAGACTAATAACGCAGGATTACTCAAACATGTGTGAATGAAACGAAACACAACTCCAGGTCTGTTTTTCAGGATGTAAAAACATTCTAACATGGCTTAAAGTTCACAAGAGTCAGTTTTGTGTAATACATAACCTTTAACTCATTTTTGTAGAGACCTGTTCAGCCATTACTTGACTGTATTCCAAATATTATTATAGCAAATAGTGGACAGCTGTTGGAGTGACTACATCCAGAGAACAAAGCACTCTTTTGTGGTTTTTAAGAAAGTTTCCGACTCCTTTCACAATATATAAACTTGTATGGACGCACAATGTTGTGTGAGGGTGGCGAGGGCAGACAAAGAGATGCATGCTGGGAGTGTGGGAGGGAGCTCTGTTAAGATTATTAAAAGACGTGGCCCAAAATAAACAGGAATCTTTCAGGTCTGAACCGAGATTTAGTGAGAGAAGAGAAATCCAGCTCAG